CTACCAGTAAATGCCGTCGCCCATCACGTGATGCCTCCATCTCGTCGTGTAATGAACGCACAGACGCACTCACGAGACAGAAAACCAAGACGATTGAATTCCAAGCCTAACACTGTGGAGTATGCACAAGAATATGCAGTATTATTTCAATCCCATCGAGTTGTTTACTAGTTAAGGTTCGCCTTTCAGGGTGTTCCATTGCTCTGGAACAAGGAAGAAACAATCGTACTAGRAGGATGCTCAGAAGATGTCATCATAGTATTGCCGTAAGACTATTAGTAGTTGCACTACAAATCGCTTCTGGTAGTACTACTACTACTACTACTAGTAATAGGAAGAATGATTTTCAATTATCATGTAATTGTGTATCATTAATGGTAGTGGCAGAAGTGGTGATTTTCTTCTTGAACAGTAGGATATCTTTTCAATCTAAACATCCCTGCTACGGTTTTAAAAAGTACGGTACTACTAAACTACCGAACCTTTCCAAAAGATTTTCGGCATTGTATTTGGAAAGTATAGTAATAACCAAGTACCTATTATTATTTGAATATTGTTTCAAGTACATCTCCGGCCTTCTGATACCAAGTGCTATTCCCTTGCATACTTACGTGATTCGCGCAGAGCTGCCAACGGCACGATCGAATTCTTGCTCGTACCAATTAGAGTCAGTGGGAGGCAGTTCTACAAGATCCAAAAATGTGTCCAAAGCCTCGAGAGCGGCTGCAAAGTGCACAACAGATTCTCGGTCGTTTTTGCGTTTTTTCTTCGCCGCCTTTTCGACAAGGTCCATTTCCTTGAAAAACTTTTTGGCGGCTCGAACAGAGGGCAGATTGTCGGGTGCTTTGGTTTGGTTCAAACGAAATGCATTTGCCAGCAGATACATACTAGTTTTCATGTCATTGTARATGGAATCACGAATTTCTGAACCCTTGCAGTCTCCATTCTTCTTCGTGCACTGGCCGTTGACATCCTTTCGCTTAGCCTCGACGACGACAAGGCCTTTCAGTACGTTCAAGTCAATTGGAAAGAGTTAAGTTATACCATGATGCATGGAATAGTTATGGCATTTTCAATGGCGTTTTTGTTGTTGTGATACATCGTAGAGTGATGATAATGTACATTCGAGGCACAATATAATGGTAACATCGAAAAATAAAGTGAGAAAAATTCTTCATGGCATTTTCTTCAGCGGATTTCTTCAGATTGAAATTTCCAATTTTCTCTGGTATCAATTTATGATCTTTTTTCATTCAGAACAAAATCTCGCGCCCTCCTTACATACCTTGGGGGTCAAAGAAACGCTGGATCATTGGTCCAGAGAAATCAGCTTGCACGATTTCAGGACCGAGCAACAAAAATTCGTGGACTGATTGCTGGACTCTTCCATAGTACCGTCTCTTTGCAATGGGAATCGTTCTAAGTTAAAATCAACGTTGTGTCCATAGATGATCAGTCGAATMTTTGTCAGACCAYATGTTACGTAGAAAATCGGCTGTATTGTATTATTYACGTATCATGATACTTTCAAGTATAGAATGAAATCAAAATTACTCACGTATATTTCCCAGCTGTGGCTCCACCACTRGCAGCGGCTGGCGCCGGTGCCAGACCTGAAACAGCTAACGCTCCAGTCACACCGGCAACGGACGTGAKGGCCTTTTTAAATAGCTCTCTTCGAGATTCTTGCACAGAATGCTTAGGTGGAGATGCATTCGATTGTTGTTGTGGACTGAAGGCCTCCACAGCTGATCCAGCGAAGAACAGCACAAGTCCAAGTTGGGATACGATTCTCATTATTCTACCGATATGTATTATGACTAWGATTCCACGATACTTTCAGCAGTACCGGTAGGGCGGGCATGTGAAACGAATGAAACGAAACAACCCAGTTGTATTTATTTCATTCCTGATCGTCATCGTCTCCTTGCTTACTGCCGATTGCTTACTGCCGATCTTTTCAAGGCTTGATTTGATCGATTCGGGACTACAGCAGTTAATTTACCATMCAATAAAATAGTGTAATGCGAAAAGGCAATCACGGATGCTAACGCACACAACTGACGTCACTTTTCCTCACTTCGCGCGTATTTATTTTTGGGGTTTTCGAGAATTTTGAWTCAAGAAATGTGTAACTTTTTTCGCGGATATTGGTATTGTACACTACAACAAACCGTACCATACGTACTTACTACCAAACAACATCACCGCTGCTAGTAGTAAGATGACTTGGAAGAAGAAAGTAACTCTTTCTACAGGCACGAAGAATAAAAGTAGTATACAACGCTGAGAGCAAAAAAATGACAACCTCATCTGGCAACTACTAATATTGCAGCATAATGTCGCTACATGGATTTATATTCTCTTGATTTGAGGTAGTGAAACCCTATCTGTTTTCTGAATAAACACTGTTGGCTCTMATTAACTACTCCACGTACACCTCATGCGTGTGCCTCCTCCTGTTTGGAGTTCAACTGATGCTKGTATAACAGATCTTTCATGTCTTCGTTCCTGAATACATAATGGGAATTCATTCATTCATATTGAACTTCTCGTCGTTTGCTTCACTTCTAGGAGCACAAATATATCGAAACTCTCGACTTGGGAAAGCTATTGGCGGACACACCACACGAGGCGTGACAAGATAAAAATGCAAGCGCAACCAATCAACCCTCCTTTTCATTCTTGCACCCACAGCCAGAACAACAGGGACATTCCACCTTTTCAGGATTCTTTTTCCCCCACCTTCCTTTGCATTGGCAGTCGGCTATAAGGGACTTAAATTTTACTGGGTCTGCCTCACGCATGTCGCATATACCGGAAGGAATGACTCCCGAAAAGTCGTTCCTGTGGACGTTGAAGGTCTCCAAGTCAACCAATCCTCCAGCTTCGGTAGGAATCGTTCCTGAGAACAAATTGTTCTGTAGCTGAAAAAAGTAAAGGCTCTTTAGATTGCCAATTCTGGTGTCCAAGGTACCATTCAGGAAGTTGACATTTAAGTCTAGGGTTTGAAGGTCAGTCAACTGGTAAATCTCAGAAGGGATCTCTCCAGTTAGTTCGTTGAAGTCGAGATCGATAAATATCATGTTGTCCAGGCGACCGAGCTCAGATGGAATTCTCCCGCCTGTAGTCCCTTGTTCCATTCCTAGAACCTTGAGCTCTTCGAGTAGTCCCAATTCGGTCGGAATAGTCCCAGATAAATTATTATCCTCGTAGACTATGCGCTCGACGCAGCGCCTTCCATCATCAAGCGTGATGCATCTAATTCCGAACCACTCACACTCGTCGACAGGGCTCAACAAGTTCACCAAAGAGTTGCCAACATCGTCCATTTCTGTCGCGCATGAATCATCCCCATCAAAACATTGGTCCCAGGAATCCCCATTGGTAGAATAATACATCACAGCCAGAGTCCAACGCTGGACAATCTTTGGGTCGTCGGGGCAGAGTTTGAGATCGTCTCCAGCGATGATCCAAAACATAGCTTTTCCTTGCGGAGTAAAAGGGTCGTCTACCAATGTCGCGTTGGTTGCTCCCACGAGAGCGGCCCGGATCCCATCTCTTCGGTCGTTGGGGGTTAATCCGCATGCATCAGTCGGCRACAGACTGGGGGCCGGGGTAGGGAGCACTGACGGTTCTTCTGTAGGAGAATCCGAAGAGGCAAATGAGGGAAAATCGGTTGGAAGCTTCGAAGGRAAAAACGAGGGCGAGTCGGTTGGAAGATTCGAAGGTCCAAGCGAGGGCGAGAAACTTGGAAGATTCGAAGGCGCGAAGGAATGCAACTTGGTTGGAGAACCCGATGGAGACGTAGACGGMTCTTTTGTTGGCGATAAAGAAGGACTCGGGGAAAGCGAAGGAGCCTGAGATGGCATGCCAGAGGGTTGGATGCTCACCGAGGGAGAAGCAGAAGGCCTGTCCGTGGAGGAAGTAGGAATTTCTGACGGCTTGCTGGAAGGTTCGACGCTGATCGATGGGATCATCGAAGTGATACTTGAAGGGCCAATTGAAGGCGACGTCGAAGGCGACGTCGAAGGAACAGTCGAAGGGACAGTCGAGGGAGCATTGCTTTCGGTAGGGACAAAACTCAAGGGATCATCCCGACCTTCGATACTCTCAGAGGGCGATGCACTCGGAAAATCTGTGTTTAGAGAGGGTGCGTTGCTTGGAGAAAAGCTTGGGAACAGCGATGGCTTTGTTGTGCTCAAAGTAGGCGCTTCAGAGGGTGGTTGGGAAGGCGAAAGAGATGGCATGCTGCCACCTAGCATCTTTAAAAAAACTTCAGTGGCATCTCCGTTTTCTTGCTGTTGCTCACGAAGGTCGGCGTCGGGGGTAGAAAAGCCGTTGTTGTTGTAATTGTCATTGCCATTGCCATTGCCATTGCCATTGCCATTGCCATTGCCAATGTCGATCTCGTTCACTCTTACTTTGGCAGCATTTCGAATATTTGTGCGAAAGTATGTATGTTGAACCTCTGGCATCGCAGAAACACAGGTGGTTGAAGATCTGGGTGCAGTTAGGATACCTATGATCGCCGCAAGCAAAATGGTTATCAAGGCGTTCATGTTCGCCATGGTGGTACAAGAAAATATTGCAGACTTTTGTTATTGTGGTTTCGGGAATGAGAATGAGAAGGGTATGATGGAGTAGACAAAATCTATGCTGTCCCTCTTGCAGTCACTTCATTTGTAGGATGGATGTGTTCTTTCAACGAATGCTTCTTTCTTCGTTTCCGGTCCATTAGCACGCGGCAGATATGAGTTGCAGGTTGAGTTTCACTTCCATGATCTTGGGTCTGATCATTTTTTTTTGAGTGCTCGTACTATCGTTCCAAAGTGAAACAAAATCGATCCCCCGAGGGAACAGATCATTTTTCTGTCCCCCAGAAAGTATGCGGGAATCATTGGAGTGCTCGGTATAGCGTGATATATGGAACAATGAGTGGCAGGCAAATCACCTGACTATTGGGATTCGAAGAGAAGGTAGCSCTCGMATCGTCGGTGAAGGAATTTTTTGTCTTGGAGGGAATGCTTTTGGTTTAGATAGCAAGACGAGGACGAGCACGCACCGGTACCAGAACGAACTCGTACRTGCACCGACAACTGTAATGTTTCGAGACGAGAAAGAAAATTTGTAAACGTAATTTTTGTGTCACGTTTGTTGCATCAGCACGTAATAGTACGTACCTTACGGTACTGGTAGAGATCGTAAGCGCGCCATTCTCGAACGAGGTTTCCCTCAATAGCCATCGATCGCAAATTACACCACTCGGCTTTCACGACTAACATAATTTTTCAATTATTTTTGTATCGGTATGTACTACGGTACGTACCGTAGTACAGTAAGAACTCTAAATAATCATACGCTACGTGAGACTTCGTAGTAAAAAATAATGGTACGGGTACCGTACTAGTCCTACCAAAGTAGCGATAAAGAGAACGAGCGTTGCGATCAGAATTCTGCCTCGTGGCGTGTTTGCACTTCTACGAGCTGTTCGTACTCCCGCCCAKGCCAGGGGGCAGGGGATCGTTCTACGGTACGTACGTACGTTCGACTACGTACGGTTCGTTGTTCGCTCTGAACGAAAAAGAATCTATCAACAAAACATCCTTTCGTGTCAATCACGAAGGATTCCTATCGTCAACATATCGCACCCGTTCTGGCAAAGCAGTAGCAAGATCAAAGGAACACTTWATGGGATCCTACAAACCACATCACGACTAGTGGCTGGTTGAAGATAAACGTGACGCGAACTACCCACGAAGAAATTACACCGTCAATTACTGTATTGAACTTGAAACCAAGGCACCAAACCGAAAATTACGGAAACGCAATATTTCTCTCCGCAGTACTGTTGTATCCTYAACGAACAACGCTGAGCGATACTGGTTCAGGAACGAAACAAATTCGTTTCTTCTAACCTTTTCCTRTTTGCCATTAAACTAAAGGAGTAGAAACGCTTGTTAATCTGCACGACAACRTTGGACAAAAAAGTAATTCAGGATTAATTCATCCTTCTACCCTCCCCAGATAGAAAGTTGAGTACGAAGGGAAAAATATGGACGATCGAGAGGTTTTTATGGACGCAAACAGTAACGCTGTCGCTGACAACAGCAACATCAACAAGAGCAATACGGGAACAAGTTCGTCGTCTCCAGATTTTATCGACCAAACTCTGAATCTTCCCGCCCACCACCATCCTTCCCAACGAAGCCAACTCCTTACCCTTTCCTTCAATCAGGACGGCGGATGCCTCGCAGTGGGGACGGCTAATGGATTCAGCGTTCACAATCTGCATCCCCAGTACAATCTAAGCGTAGAGAGGTCGTTGAGAGGTGGCATTGGCCAGATCGAAATGCTCTTTCGGTGCAACCTCATGGCCCTGGTGGGAGGTGGCTCGGATCCCCACGCTGCTCCCCACCGCGTATTGATTTGGGATGACCACGTTCCAAAGGAAATTGGTGAGCTGAGTTTTAGGCAGATTGTTCTACGGGTCAAGCTACGCAAAGATGCCATTGCGGTGGCCCTGCGAGATCGCGTCTATGTCTATCACCTGGCTGATCTGAGTTTGCGGGACAAGATCTACACGGCTGATAACCCGTACGGCCTCCTGAGCCTAAGTACGCACGTTCAGGACATGGTCCTGGCGTGCCCCTCGGTGACCACTGGGCATGTTCGTGTTGAATTATACGGAATGCGGAAAACAATGGTACGTGCGTTGYTGCCTGTACAACGATTCCTTTTTGGTCTGCAAATTTTCGTTGGACATSTGTGTGATTTTCAAGGGTTTGATTTTGTTCTCATATTCAGCGTCAATAATGATTGCTTTTGGGTTTCTAAWTCCTTTGGCCAACCCAACTTTTTCTTCTCTATTTGAAAATTCATCACGAYAAAAACAACACACAATTACTRCATYGATCCTTCATGTTCGTTCCAGCTTATCGAGGCCCATGAATCGACACTGAGAGCACTGGTGTTGACGGCAGATGGCAGTAAATTAGCGACAGCCTCCCACAAGGGGACCATTCTTAGGGTTTGGGATGTGGCCACCTCGCAAAATATTCACGAGTTTCGGCGTGGGGTYGAACGAGCTAACATAACCTGCTTGGCCTTTTCGTGGGATGACCAGTGGATTGCTTGTTCGTCTGACAAAGGGACGACGCATATTTTTTACCTCGACAACGAATCTTCGGGCTTGAAAAAAGACAAAGACAAAAATAGCAGTAAAAGCAAAGGAAGCATTTTCRCTTCCACRGGATCCTCTTTGTTGAGCAGTGGCAGCAARTTGCTAATGGGATCCTTCTCCTCGTCCACTGCGAAGTCGCCTTCCAAATCCGTYTGCCAGATTCGGGGTGTTCCCCACCCCTTGGCATGTGCCTTTATCGGGGATGCTCCTCACTTAATTGCCGTAGCGGGATGGGACGCCGATGGGAACGGAGTTTTGTTGGTCAGCGAATTTGCTGCCCACCAGGAGGCCCGAAGGGTCGCCTACCAYGTTCTCGTAAAAAACGCATCGACGGCCGACGAAACGGAAGAAGAACGACGGAGGAGACGGGCCCGTGGATGGGTGCCCGGTGACGAGACGAGCAAAAATGGATCGGGGCACGATTTCTCGGAKAATAACCCGAGAATGCATTTTGGACACTTGCAAATCTCGGACGAAATGGCCGAAGAATCGCACCGATTTCAAACCCAAACCACGGAGGATGATTTTTGCGAGGTAATTGTTCAGCCTAGACAGGAGCCCATAATCGAAGACAAGCCCCCAATCAATCCATCGTCGCCATTATCCTCGTCGAATACACAACAAGAYCTAGAAGAGCAGCAAACATCACCATCGTCATCAGAGAAAGGCACGGAACAAAAAACTTCAAGTGACGGTGATGCATCGAACGGTATCGATGGAGAAAACAACGACATTATTGCCTCAAACACGAAGGCAGGCGCTAGCGGTGACAAAGAAASAAGCGAATGCAAAGGAACTGATCKAAAAACGGAAGCTGATCCCGAACCGATTGCCACGAACAGTTGCAGCGAMCATGATRATGACACGGAGTGATGTAAAAAATTCAATTTCAATTCGTTCAGAAATTCTTGAACCCGAATCTTACCGGGCGTCAGGGTACTGTTCGATGTGGAACTTCTTGACTTTTGATCCGCTTCTGAAGAAAGGCCAATAAATGATCCAAAAGTCGAGTAAAGCCACAACCTACAAAACATTGATACTGGATGGATCCTTGCTGTACTACGGTCGCTTCACTCGAGCAACAGTACATACTCTAGTTTACGTGTGTAAAATACGCGCCATGTACTGTGTCAATTGCGAAACGCACATTGATGGGATCCTAGTTGCTATCAATTCGTATTGCTTCGCCACCATCGATAGCAAAATGGTATAACATACCCAATATCTTTCCTTCTACTTCTACTTTGTAGTACCTAWAGCTCKATTTCTCCAAACACTTTCCTTGCTTGYTGAAACTAGCTCAAGACGGATTTGGAGAATGATCCAGCAACGATGACYATGGAGAGCATTGTAGTTGYRCAACACTCAATACTAGTAGAGCTTGTGAGGCAGGAAACAACCCAGARTAACGTGTAGCTAGTGAATACTCTTACTATTTATTGCAATCAAGTATTATCGYAATATGGAGCCTATAAGCACTTTCCGGGCTCTTCAGCATTTCACAGAACTAGTAGATTCTGGTTCTCTAATTCTTCTTGTTTTTCTTCCAACGATAACCTCCACTCGACGCAGATTTACGGAACTCGTGCGGGACTAAAAATCTGAAGTTTGAATCTACGGTCCTCTTGAAATTCGAACTTGTTCCCAGGCACGGCAGGGGTCATTTATGACCCCTGCATACCGTTACATACCGTACGGCAGGACGGTTCGTAAGAGTTTAGTTAGGAAGGCAGGTGTGTACGATACTCGTGCCAAGAACGTGTTTTCTTTCTTCTTCGTACGAAGGGCGAAGATCTTTTCGAAAGCGAAAACCGAAAGAGAATTTTGGAGACGACGAGAACAAGTTGTGGTATCGTACCGCCCCGTATCTCTAGTACTAGTACAATACTGTTTGCGGTGAAAGGCCTTTTTCGAACTCGAAGCAAGACGGGACGCTAGCGTTGCATCGGCGACCATGAGCCAACGCATAACTTGCCCCTCCATCTATGGAAGCCTTAGTGSTCGACTAGAACAGTAGTSTCCAACCATTGCAACACACTCGACGCGACACAACGCAACGACGAAAATGACGAAACGCCATGGTTGGAAGCACGACTGTTTCGAACCGCTGACAATKGACGACTATCTCGACGGATGCGRCAGCMACTTGTTTCCCTCCGAGAACCACGGCGAYGCGAGTTTCACGGGGGTYTGGCAGTCGTCWCCTTTGTTTCTAGTTTGGCTGGAGCACAACTGGTCCAAAATCGTGGAAGCAGCGACCGCGACGACTCCTCCTACCTCGGTGCCGTTTTCTATTTTGGAACTGGGATCCGGCACCGGCTTTTTGGGGATCCATTTGGCATACAACCTGCAGCAGACCCTGGCGGGAGCTGCATGCCAGGAATCGAATCCCACGCACCGGTACAAGGTAACCCTCAGCGATACCCCCAGAAGYGGAGCCTATTTCTGGACAAAGGCCAACCTGGAAAAGGCGCTGCGCGGGCAAGAACGAGAGCAAGGAGACGGCGACGGGGGAGAAGAAAAGAAGGAAGCAYTCGATTGCGGGGAGAGAAGAACACTTGCTGGGATTTCAAGCSAGAACCTTTGCGTGATACCCTTCGACTGGGCCTGCCAAGAACAACGCCGGGCCGTCTCGACGCAGATGGACGACTGGGATCTGGTGATCGGAACGGATCTGATCTACAGCGAAGAAGGCTGCCACTACCTGGTGCAAGCCATGGCGAGCCTACTGAACGAGTCGCCGCCGTCTCCATCGCCGGCAGCGGCAACAGCAGCAGCAGCAGCAGGGAGAAGGCGCAAAAGGAGGATTTTGTACGGCCACACGTCGGGCCGGATCGAAGGGCTCGATCAAAAGTTCGAAAGCGATCTTTCTGGCCGGGGGCTGCGATGGACTGTTTTGGAACGCATCCCGTTGCCGTCATGGAGCGAGCGCTTTACGACCATATACGATATACAGCTCTAGTAGCAAGTTGCTACGCACGAAGTAGTAGACAAYATTGTACGCACTTTCGTCAACGAAACTGCCAACAAAGGATTTTAATTCATGTAACTTGTTCAAAATTCATGTAACTTATGCAATTCATGTATACTCGHAGGTCATTGCGCGAAGTGGAGTTATTCCACTGTCTCGTGAACCTGCTCTAAGTACTTCRCCACGTCTTTCGAGCGTTTCTTAGCAAGGATCATCATGCGGGGACCCGGCTTGAACGAGAAGCTGATCCCCTTGGCCCTGCGCAGTTTTTTGATCAGTCCCACCTGGCCCGTCAGCGCGGCTAGATCGAGAGCCGTGCGTCCCTTCGAGTCGACTGCATTGAGCCGGGCAGAATCGTAGCTCCTATCCGATCCGATGGGACTCCCCTCGGGGCCCGTCCCCGTTGCGATTTTTTCCAGCTCTTCGTCGACAAAGTCTTCGTCACCAAACTTGACGGCGGTGTGGAGCGGAAAGTTGCTTTCCTCGGCCTCGGATAGGTAGGCATCGGGAAAGACCTGCGACGAGAGATGCCTGTTGCTATTGCCGACCGYGGAGRTTRTTCGCTCGGGCATTAAGGAGGAAGGAGGTTCATCGGGAACTAAGCCATCCGGGTCCAAGGCATCCACGTCAATGACCTCCGTGCCGGCGCCAAGAGAATTTTCTTGCTTGAATTCTGCATCCTGATTGTATTCGCTTCTGGGATGGTTGTCGGTTTCATCCTCGCCTCGATGGTCTGTCTCCGTGCCTATATGGGATTCCTCACCACATTTTCTCGTTTTCGAGCTCTTATGTTTTTTGCGRTTTGGGGCTCGACRTGAACGTTTTCGCCGCGAAAGCACCGAGGGAGAAGGTAGTTCMTGTTTTGCATTTTTCCTTGTCTTACTTGCTATATACCGCGATTGCGGWGAATCGATTGGAACACAGTCCRATTTCACATGATGTTTCCACCAGTCTGCTTGATACTCTTCTAAGACAGGGTCCAGGTCTTGACGAATGCGATACCATTTGCGAAGAACAGCGATGTCGTCTACCCATGATCCAACCCGCGTTGTCAAATCTTTCAAAACYACTTTTCCTGCAATGCCATGTTTCGAACCTRAGCGAAAGGTGCCGTGGTATTCGTARGGCAATCCCACTAATTCCTCGGTTTTCTGACCGTCACCGGTCACAACAACTCGCGTCTCCATGATTTGCTTCTCTTCCTCGTTGATGTTTCGTTTCCAAACCAAAGAATTTTTCAGCCAAAAAGAGCGACCCCATCCATGGAATAAGCCATCCCGGTACTCTCCAATGTGGCATTGGCCATTTTTTTGGCACGATATACCTATTCCTTTTGCCACACGCACAGTTCTTCCTCCCGGTCCTTGTCGCACCTCGGCCCATGGTCCAAGGTACATGGTTCCGCTTTCGGAAAGCCAGATSGGTCCTTTCGGCCGATATTTCACATTGCCCCAGCTATGATAGATCGTTGGGCTTGCTTTGGGTAAAGCCACCGGACTCTTTGTAGGTTCCTCGGTTTCGGTCCACCATTCTTCATCCATACCGAGCTTCTTTGCTTCATCCAAATCAATCCACCAGCCCCCCTCTCTARGGGATCCTCGGCGATCGTCAAATGGSCCCCTATTCTTCACAGCCACGTTCCACGTCTCGGAAGASGTGGAGCTAGACGTTGCTGCCGAGGATTGTTTTGCCACCGTATCTTCCATGCTTTCGAATGGCACAATCTKAATACAACGAGATTGGTTTCCCTTCTGGCCTCAGTCCAAGACATGCACCGGTATGTACYRTATGGYGTTCCGCAAATGATATCAGTTTTAAAGGAATGCAAAAAAAATAATTGGAAGTAATACGGTAAATCGGTAATACCGTATGAACACTATGCGAGTGCAAAAGCGATGGGAGAGAATCGCTTTTGACATGATTCTTTGATATCTTTTAGACAGAACCTCCGTAGGCAGACCGTAGATGCGTACGTACCATGACTTCCGGTAAAAATACCAAAAATGGATAGTTGTTCGCAGTTCGTACCGTACTGCTAGGCACTGTTCTATTGTACTGTACAGTACTGTACGAACTGTACCGTACTTTCTTTCAGTTCACTTCGACCAATTGAGCCTGAAGCATTTGGAATGAAGTACGAGGTACTGTAGTACGGTACAGTATTTCCCGATTTACCGATAGGCACTCTTTTAAGGTAAAATTTCATGCCAACAATATTTTATTGTTTCTTGCCTTCGGGGTACGAGAACATTTACCCGGGCAGCAAATCTTAGGTCGACCGATGGTTCCAAAGCAACACAACGGCACCTGCCAGTTCAATCCACCTACCGGTACCTCCCACCACAATTTTTTCCGAGTACAATTCGCTCCCCCCCCCTCTCCACCACCATCCTCTGTTTTCTTCTTCTTATAATAGTGGCAGGGTGACACACAATACCAGCCACTGGTCAGCAGTGGAGGAATGTTATCTATGCAAAAGTGCAATTTAATCAGGGGGAGTTGGGTTACTTGAGTTACCTGAGCTAGCGAATCAGATTTTTGCAATTGGATGTGAGAAGAGTAGCAGSAGCATCAGTAGTTTGTGTGAATCAGCGCAAAAGCCAAGGTAATATAGTAAAAGCACCAGTAACACCAATTGGCAATGCCTAAAGGGTACTCCGGCACCTCAAAAGGCTGTCCTCACGGTCTTCCTGCTTATTGGCAAAAGGATTTCGTTAATAGTATCATAGTCGCGCCTCCACAAAACCTCCTCGGAGGGAGGTGCCGCCCCTCGGAGCAGCTAGGAGCATTCTTCTCCCTAGTCCGGAGAGGCTCTGGTTCTGGCCATATAGTGCATCTTCTAGTTCACGAGGTTAASTATAATATTAAGATTTYTATTTTCGTCAATAGTATCAGTATTATRTAATTCTCATTAATCTCCCTGTGAAGGACACCATTGTACATTKGTGAGCTTCATATTCCCAAACCTAATCGAAATACTTCCCTCTGTCCGCAAATTAGGCTTACTCAATGACCTTCTTTGCTATTTGAAAGAAAATRTCAACTACTTTGTATAGTTTGAGACAGTTGATTGAACCTATTACTGCGTAGAATTTCCTTTTCTATACCTACAGCGAATCGAGATAGCTTCTTACTGTACTGTCGGTGCTTCCAAACGTTGGGAGCRAGTGCTGTGGATCTCGTTGTTGTGAAGCACTCTYMATACTAGCAGGTCGAGAGCTTCCCARCATGAGGTTCGCCGATACTGCCACAGCTTCCGTACCACCACCRAATTCTGGTTCCGGCAATCCACGAATCCCAAATGGCATTTTTACTCTGTACAAGCCACCGCCATCGGGGCCCCTGGTGGTAACAAAGAGTTCGTCCAGGTTKGGACCACCAAAGGTGCACGAGGTTGGCGACTTCACTGGCAAATGGACCACACAATCTACGATTCCGGGTCGATCTGGATGGACCCGAACGACCATGCCTGCCCCACTGAGGGCCATCCAAAGACCGCCGTCTGCGTCGACCTGGGCTCCRTCTGGTCCACCAGCCAAGTTTGGAGGCATCGTCCAAATCAATCTCCGATTTGTGCAATAYTGATGCTGATTTTTGTTGGCAGTAGTTTGGGGATAATCAAAGGCATACACTTTGCGGGTGGGAGTGTCGCAAAAATACATAGTTCCACCATCAGGCGAAAAGGATATGCAGTTTGACACACGGTATTTATATTCGGGGGGGAAGAGAGATTGGACAGTTCGTGTGGTCGGGCAGAGTCTGTACAGACCGCAATTGTTTTGCCCTTCCGATGCGCCAGCTCGGTGATAGTTGTTGTACATGCCAACTACCAGGTTTCCCTCCCGGTCCGCCCGACCATCGTTTGGTCGGGTTGTTTCTTGCTGTTCGGGTCGATCGCAAAAAATGGTGGAGGAAAAGTCATTGTTCCCCATGGTTGTTTCAAGAAAGGCGCTTTCTCCTGCAACCAAAATATTTCCACCAGCACCACTGCTTTCTGCAGCCTTAAGGGCAATRCATCCAATAGTGGTTCCAAACAATCTGCGGTAGGGAGGRTCGATCATGTTCCAGGCCCAAACTTCTTCTTCYGGAGCGGAAATCCAGTAGAGAGTCTGGTCCCGAACGGACCAAATGGGAGACTCTCCGAGGACGTTTTTGCACGACACAACTTCAAGAGCTGTCAATTCCTTAGGCGGGAATTGCTGTTGCTGGTGACTCCAATTTTTTTCCTCCTCGCTAGTGGCTGCCGCGCCGTCGACGATTCTCGAAAATCCGTCCGCTGTCAAAGAGGCACCTCCCACAAGCGCCCCGTCCACGTCGGGCATTGCCATGAGTTCTGAAACGGAATCGGGTGTCACAGATCCACCGTATTGGATTCGGATGGTTTGTGCCGTCTCGGGTCCATACAACTCCGAAAGGGCYCCCCTCACCACCTCATGGGCGGTCTGGGCCTGTTGTGGAGTAGCAACCTTTCCGGTTCCGATTGCCCAGACTGGTTCGTACGCAACGACAAGTCGTGTGCTAGCGTCAACAGAAGAAATTCCATTCAGTGCCTTGGTGACCTGGAAGTGGATGACGCTTTCCAGGAGGCTACTTTCATATTCCTCCAGAGTTTCCCCGACACACAAAACCACCGACAGGCCGGCATCTTCCTGAAGTGCAAGCTTGATTTTTGCGTTGACGAGTTCGTCCGATTCTCCATATAAAGTCCTTCGTTCGGAATGACCCACCAAGACATAGGAACAACCCAGTGACCTTACCATCGACGGAGAAACTTCTCCGGTAAAAGCACCCTTGGAKTCGCTCGAAATCGTCTGCGCACCCACTTGGATGCCCGTCCCCTCCAGAAGTGTTACGGCACGTTCGAGGTACGGGGTGGGTGGAAACACAACAACCTCTGGAGTATTCGCTGCAGAGGATCGATGGTGGACAAAGTTGGATGCCAACAGTTTGAGTAGCGTGGTAGCTTCTTGCACCGTGGAAGGATTAAGTTTCCAATTTCCAGCGACAATGGGAAGTCGTCGTGGATGCTGATTGTTGTGGGTGTCAGACGTCGGCGCCATTCCGGATTCACCAGAGTTGTCAAAATCCAAATAATTCCTCATGGAACTGAGTTGCAATGTTGCACGGCTGCCCCGAGTTTKGATTCTGTTCCAGTCRCTGTTATTGCTGCGRCGAGAGCCAAAGACAAAAGCCGTCGTTGGTGGTGACAGACAGGAGACCATTATTGCTGCCGCCATKGCAATAGCTGCGACGGAATGTATCGGTTGTGGACAACAACGTCTCGCCATCTTCGATGCTACGCAAAATACAAATCAGTAGAGTACTGCGGATTCCTTGTTTGAAACTTTTCTTCGTTTTCAAAAGGTTGAGATGTCGTTACGTTCGGTTCGAAGTAAGTATTTTCAATACTTGTACATCGGATCAACGTTTTATTAAACTGAAGATTCTTCTTTATTCGTTGCGAGAAACCAGAAAACCTTGTTACATCGGTGAGAACTGAACTAATTATTCGTAGGAGTAACTGTAGTACGTTACGGTACTTGTCGTAAAACAACTTGTATTACAGTTCTTCGCGTTGAACTATTAGAAGAATTTACGAAGTAGAAGTACTACTAGTGTTAACGTAGGATAAACGACCACGTACGTATGTCTTGTTGTGAGGGTTACTATCTACTCTATGCATCATACATACAGTCCCGGACATAGTTCGATAAGTGCGCGATTTTGTAAAACAAATTGATATTTTCTTGCTTTTTGGGGGTGCATATTCGAGTCACAACAACATTTAACAACATGAGTTGCTGCGAAGAAGTTAAGATTCCATCATCCCCTACCGGTAGATGTGACAGTTAGTATCCCCCCCCAACTGACTCCTCTAAAATCCCACCCTGTTTTCGTGTAAGGAGCTCTTACACAATTTCATTCATAATCCGATGGTTAATACAAATCAACAAAATCTCAGTAAGAAAACACCAAGAGCAATGCATGGTATGCCATGAATAAGCAGTTGTGACCRTCTTGGCATCAAATAGCATCAACTGAAATTCCCATTTCGCCCGATAGGAAGCAAAAATTCATATGGTAGTGTTTTCACCAGACAATACCGAAGGATACAACCGTGAGCAGTGACATGGGATCTTTGTATGACGATAATTGTTTTCGTCGTATTGGAACACGATCACTTGTGGTTCTATGGGTGGCGTGGATTGCGAACACTCTAGGCTACAAAAGTTTGAGAGGTTTGAATGGGGAGAGATTGTTCAATACTCCGCTTGCACAGGCATTCTCCTCCTCGCGAAAAAATAGGAACCATCATTCGTCGATCCAAGGGAAACGATTTCGACACGCTGCTACGATTTTTCCCASGACGGGTAGTTCACATTATAAAGACAACGACAATTCAACCACTTCCGTGATACCATCATTGGATGGCAAAAAGGTCCGAATCCCACCTCCAATATCTGACACGACGCCATGTCAAGTCCTCGATATATTTCACGATGGAGAAGAATTCTACTTTCCGTCTCCCGAACAATATTCGGTGCTACCAAAAGGCGATCAGGGTGGATTTCATATTGTTAAAGAGTACACTGTTCCAATGCCGGGTACCGTCATAGGAGATGACGTACTAAAAGTTATTGATACCTACCAGAAAAGGAACAAAGTCAACTGCATCACCTTGCAGAATGCCTTGTTGGCTTTAGATCCTGAGAGGTACCCAACACTGACCAGTGCACGCAAGGCTTGCCGAAAAGGAAAGATCCTTGTCAAACAACAATATAGAACGGAAAGCGTAGATAAAATGAATCTTACTGGCTTGAATATCGACAGGCATGATTGCAATAACAACAGCAGCAACAACAATTGGAGTGTCAACGATGGCAATAGCGGTGTCTTTCGAAGAGGTAGAGTGGGTGACCTCGTGTTTCCTGGCGACTTGATTGGGAGCCAACTTTTTCTGGGCACCTACCGAAAAAAACAATGTTATCCGAATATCGATTACCCCCGTCCTCAATTTGAGCTGGAGGTCGTCTACGAAGATGACCACCTGGCCGTTGTGAACAAACCATCCGGAATCGCTGTGTACTCTGACACTAGGATGGATTCGACAGGGACGTCAAAGGGAAACCGTAGGACCATCCAGTTTCTTCTACCATTTGTACTGACGCCACCTCAGAGAGGCACCCAAGGTGGGCTCTTGCGCCGTCCAGGCATCGTTCACCGCTTGGACAAGGCTACCTCCGGACTATTGGTGGTGGCAAAGACGAAGGTCGCTATGGAGTCGCTCAAGGAGCAATTCCGGACTCGYCAAATCCAGAAACTATACACTGCTATTGTCAAYGGGGACTTGCTGCAGGAAGAAATTATGCAGCGAAAGCTTCAAGCTGACCGCCTGGAAGACGGTTGCGATGACGAATCCGAACACCAATCCAGCAGCGAGAAGACCAGCGAGTCCTCTTCGTGGAACGTGATCGACTATCCATTGGGAGGGAAGTACGCCGTCACCGCTTGGAAGGTCCTGCGGCGTTCACCATCGCTCAATGCCAGGGACGGAATGCTCACAAAGATTCTTATCAGACTGCATACCGGACGCTACCACCAAATCCGGAGGCACTTTGGCTGGTGGTGCCGCAAGCCGTTGGTTGGAGATCCACTGTACGCGGGTCTCTTGCAGGCCCATCACTTCCGGAAGCGAGGCCTATACCTGTGTTCCAGTGGGATTTCCTTTTTCCACCCTTTCCCAGGCAACAATGGCGATGGATGCAACAAAACAAACGACAAGGAGAAGAATAACAAAGATGTTGGTATGAMCACGCAACGGAGGAGAGTAGAGATCACGATCGAATCACCCAAACGCTTCGACAAGCTCATGAATGCCGAAGAAGCATGGAAACGAAGTAAATCATCAAAAGAGAACATTGACAAGTAGCAGCAACTAKAGGGCCGATGTGAGGGAGATTTAATTTCAGTTTATKCGGAATGACTATYGCCTGTCCCCATTATATCATCACATGTATTCCAACAGCAATATGCACATGTTGTTCTAGCRAGAAAACTAGGCAGYACTTGATCTTGATAGCTTGGTTATGAACAGGCTCGATGCGTTCTTTTCAATCCTTTTCCACGGCGTACAATTAGGATACGAGTACCGACTGAAGGAGTACCCTATGTAAAACTTGAAACGGCAAAACATRCACGTGCTGTAACACGTGCAAAAATACGAGTACTCAATTCTTCGCGAGGACAAYAAAAAAGTTCGATAATATTATTCAAAGACACGTCGCCTCTATGCAGCACGAAGGCACGTYTAACAATTGGGTTTTCCTAAATAAAAGGAAATTTTAAAAATTTAGAACACTAAGTACAAAAAACTTTCGATTATTCGTGCTCTTCAGCTCAGAGAACCCGAAACAGATCGCACTATAACTGCCTATTGCACAGTTCCATTCTGTTTCTTGACATCGTTATTTGTTCTTTTCATAACAAGTTACAGGAGATGAAGTTAAATATGAAATATTCAATACTGTACTCATGACTCATCAAAAATCAAATGAAACCCTATTTACAGTAAAAGTATAAGTCTTAAATAATTAATCGATCGACCCTTTTTCATCATTGAAATATGGACTGTAGTACAATAATAAAATATCATCAGAAGAAGCCTTGTTTCTTTTCAAAGGCCTWTTCTTCTTTCGAAGGTAAGAAATCAAATCAAATCCTGCATGCTGTTATCAGTTATCAGTGGAGTGTTGCGCTTCAAGTTATTACAGTAGTATTTTAGATTCATTAATTAGTACTGTTTCAGATGCAAATAAAAAAACTCATTATCATTATTTCAGTTGCAAATGATTGCACGTCGAGTCCAAGCAAAGAAAATTGTTGTTTTCGAATACGTYACAGAATCACACTGAAACAAACGAGAAMATCCCAACTTACCGTATCACTGACCAGCAAMATGACACTTGGAARGGGTGCTCATCAGAATGGAAAYKTAGACAAAGCAAAAGCGTTTGCGAGGTGGGAAGGARACCCGAAGGATATAGAAAGCATCCTCCTCCAACAGTGCAAGCAGCAGCTCAATCCCCAACAAGTAGAGGATTTGTTGGTCRAGGAGCTGAACAAGATGACCCATGACTCACGCGAACGGGTTATGGAAGATATCCACGGCATTCCCAACCCCCTGTCGGTCGAGGAAGAAACAAAGCTCTTGGAAGAAATGCAGGTCGAACTCGATCAGCTCGAAAGAGAGGCATCTTTCGCTAACAAAAACGMAATCACTGCTTGCAAATCCGACCCTCTTGCTACCCATACCTCGGCCTACCAGAAAGCCAAGCTCCTCAAGAGCGAGTTGATCTACGACCGCCAATTCCGTTGGTCCTTTTTGCACCGCGAAAATAACCATCCGAAGAAAGCTGCTCTTCGCATGTTTCGCTACCTTGATTTTCTCATGCAGACCTTTCGCGACAACGACGAATTATTGGAAAGACCTATCTTTTTGAAAGACCTCGATCCAGGTGCACTTGAGTACTTGCAAATTGAGGGTGGAGGGATCTCCCAGATTTTACCGATTCGAGATTCCTCGGGAAGGCGGATTTTAGTTCACTTAATGGACGCAGTCTGTTCGTTGCTTTATCAGGTATGTTATGGTATGTTATGAAACATGCCAATTCGTTCTTGATTTTTTTCGAAAAGTTTTGTAGCGAAATGAATTATTGGAATTGAGGGCGCTTTTTCGTTTGGTTCTATAWTGTATATCTTATTTTCAGCTTCTCAAACTATTTTGGATGATATACGTTCGAAATCGAACTCTCGGAACAACACGTTGGCGATTTCTTCAGCAACAAATCGGYTTCTACAWTTCGCAATGCCTCACCGAAGACCGAAACGGTGTCGTGTGGGTGTATTTTCTGCACAACACCAGTCGAAAATTTCTAGATTTGCAACAGCTGCCAATGRTGAATCAACTCTTCCRGGTCCTACCCATTCGATTCGATGCCGTTCATTTGTGTTGTCCCGATTTACCCATGTATGAGYTTTGCAAGGCTCTTGTCACTCTGTATGTAGGGAAGGAGAACCGGATTCGGCGACGTTTGCACTTGGGGTCGTATTTGGAATGCAAGTACAGCCTCCAGCAATATGGAATCGGTGTTGACCGGCTGCCGATCAACCTCGAGACATGGAAATGGAGCCATGATTCTGACACAAAACATTTTCGTAAGTGGCTGATTGGGAGAGAGGCCAAGGAAGTCGCGATAAGGGCCGCCATTGTAGAGATGAAAAACAACAAGAACGAGACGAACAAGATCGATCTTCGTCCCAACTCTAACAGCAAAGGCAACGAACCAAGCGTCCGTGGCACGAAACAAAGTCCTTTGAATGGTACGATGGAAATTTTCCGTGCTATCCGCAAGAAGTACGTGGAATGCCCTCACCATGAGGACTGTTTGTTTGGGAAGGGCAATTCGGTGATGAACCACCATGGGAATGTCGCCATGCGACAATTGGTAGCAGGAATGTRCCAGCACTTCCACGACTCTTCCTCAAAAAAAGAAAAACAGAATMTAGCTAGGGACRTTATTGATAGAGTGAAAGCCGGAGGAGGTCGTTTTCTCAAGGAGGATGTCGCTACCACGGGGTTTTATGTGGAAGTCGATGACGATCTCGCTCTGAAGAAAATTACAGTTGCCTTTCGGGATTTGAAGAAGAAGTTCTCACGAGAAAGTATTAAACAAAACATCTCGGGGTTAGAAAAGAGAGAACGACACGCTCTCTCAGTAGCTAAGCATCAGTTGCCACCCAACAAAAAATTTATGCGCAACAGTAATTTGGATGAAAGCCAGTACAACCGAATGATTTCTCCTCTACCACTTGTCGTTAGCAGCGTTAGTGCCGCCGCCACCACAACCAAGGGCAACAGCGATGATCAACTTCCTACATMTACCGGAAGCATTTTTGATGCAAAGGAAAAGCCTTCTTCTATTTGTTCGTGTGATTCTTGATAGCGACCAGGATATTACGTARGAAAAAWTTATGTTTTCGTGTGAAATGCTGTAATATATGAAGTATACGGAAGGATCGCTCATTGAAAGCGAATATTACACTTCATTGAATCGACGCACAAGATGTATGCAACGCAAAGTAAAGTAGAAGAGCAAAGAAGAATTCATTTAAAAGAGAGGACAAAAGTATGCAATAGAAGGGACCAACAGGCTCCTTTATGTGATAGTGCTCTGAATAATAAGTCTCCTCTAATCTATTCTTGTAYGATGTTCGCTCGGCATAATGGGCAGTCGTGGTGATTTTGAAGCCATTGGATCATACAGTTTTCATGGAAGCAATGGTTGCAAGAAGCATTTCTCTTGTCTTTATTCCTTTTGTMSTTTTCGTCGCCACCTTTGCCAGCCGGAATGTCCAGACGGCCACGATAGTCGGTGTTGTGCACTTTTTTCGGTTTTGTCGTTCCCTGGTCTCTTCGCCTCCATTTATGAACTACAATATCRCCAACGGCGAAATCTTCAAGACAAATGCCGCAGCATTTTTGGTGTGTCAGTACTTCCGCTGCTGCCCTTTTCTCTTCTTCATCTAATTTAGGAGTATTGGCACGGTTGCAAAACACGAGCGASGGCAGCATGGATGAAGGGGGAAAGGATTCCTTGGTTTCTGTGTTCACATCGAACTGTTGTTGAGCAAAACCACTGATATCACTATCGCTGAAAGGTTCGTTGTTGGTATTGGACGHGTCGTCACCTTTTTGCTGCTCTTGCGATTGATTGGAAGATGATGGCACTGCCATTACGTGATGCAATATTAAGTTTCTGTAGATAAGCTCATCTCGSCGTCGTTTTCTTGTGTTGTCATCTACTGGGGGAGCATCTAGGATACGACCTACGCGTCGGCTCGCAATCTCTATTATGTCGTTAGCAGCAACGGTTATGTTGTTRCTGTTGCCCTCAATATCTGCACTCCCGATTCCGAGTTCCCTTCGTAGAACTCGTCCTTCGTTCCAGTGCCTGAAAATATGATGTACCAAATTGACAATACTACATGTAACCACGATGATTATCTCCATTTTTTATATGGGTTGTAGCAATGATGTTTTACGTTTCGTTTGAGAAAGGAGARACGAAAATTGGGTAGATTACTCTAGTGTTCGATCTGAGAGAGCGTTTCTGTCCTGGCCTGGATTGATTCAGTGAGAGAATTATTCGGTCCAATTTTTCGGAAATGTTGGAACGTTCCTGGAAGAGTAAGTACGCTGTGATTACTAGAAGGGCTGTGATACATTGATATTTCTTACTTCTTAAATTATTCGCKTGATGTCGCTCGGTCTTCAATACGTCGCATACATTTTCTTACTATTTTTATCAAAAATTTTGAGAAAATTTTTGTCCASCGTTTCGATCGTACTGTAACTAAKARAATTAAGAACCACSTCTTTTGTTCSCCTCGGTGGTCATGGCGATTACTATGAATGGCAATATTTTGTTTTAGGGAACTACCAGACCCGCACATTGGACCAGACCCGCGTACATACAGTAATGGATAAAAAGGTTCCCATATTTTTACTGCTGGTTTGACTTCTGCGAACAAACCGGGAAGTACGTGCATACAAAATTCTACTCTAATATCCTTCTTCAGATCAATTATGTAGTTTGTAAAACGTAGTTCGGTATGGGCCCAATAGTACGCTGCAAAGAAGCGAGCAACCATCTTACCCTACACATAACTAACTTTTGATGATGTAGTATTACCTSRTGGTGACAGCTCGTTTGCTTCTTGAAGATGTATATGAGGTATTGTARAGAGAATTGCTGCGCAGCCTTTTACTGAGATTTCAAATGAAGGGCMAAAATCAACTTCAAATGACAACAAGCACAGGAACAGTGGACAATGCTGAGAGTTTGAGTAGTAAAGTAGGAGTGACTCGTATTTGTTGCGTGCCTGCCATGGTGAATTTCGATATTCTCGCATATGAAACTGGCCATGCTTAATTTCGATGTTCAAGCATGTGAAAATAATTATTGGACTCCATTAAAAGCTGTRATATGGTGGAGGACTACTGAATAGTACCGTATAAATCATAGTCTCATTTTCCTTCTCTTCCTTTTCATGGTTTGGTGATGTTCTATGAAGCATTGATACAACATAATAAATTATAATATTATATAGGGTACAAGACACGTASGACTGGTCAAGCTGTGACGCATGGCCGTTCCCCTTCTATACGGCCACGGGAGCTCCGTCTGAACCCGCTGAATTTGTGCTACCAGTTTTCTTGTTGTTGTTGTTCGAAGCTGCGACAGTAGGAACGGGTGCACTGGGATCACTTAGTTGTTCGATGTGGCGGTCCATTGCCGATTTTCGCGCCAAATATTCGGCGAAGTTCGCGTCGGCATTCGATTGTGTTTTGTTCTTGGCCTCCGAGCTGTGGTCATTGCCATTGGCATTCGAAAGAGTCAATAGGCCATTGCTGTTGCTTTTACTCGTCGTGCTGGTGCTCGTWGGAACTGTCGCTGTCGGCGCTGGTTCCGGGTGCACCGCCGCAGTAGAAGTAGGTGCCRAAGACATTGGAGGTGGATATTGCGGCCCGACTGGAGMGAATGGGGTAGTCGGGGGTGCTATRCTGGGCGCCAMTTGCTGTCCCGCTGCCATGTCAGCTCCCAGGGCTTGCTGCTGCTGCAATTGTGTCGCCTGTGCTTGAATTGCCGCCGCCGCGGCGACTTGTGCGGTTAGCATCGCGTTCATAGCCGGATTTTGCATGGCGGCTGCTGCCAGGGTTGGATTCATTTGCTGGAGGGCGTTCATAGTGACGAATTGGTTCATTGCCGCAAAGGCATAGGGATTCGTTGTGGCAGATGCCGCTGYCGCCCCATTCATTTGCATACCAAAGTTAGGTATGCCAACGATTGGAGTCACAACCCCCGGCATGGTTGGCATAAAYTGATTAATTGCCATCATGTTGATTGGCTGTTGGTGTTGTTGTTGCTGTTGGTGCGGAACCGGGGCGGTCACAGCCTGTTGCTGATGCTGCTGATTCGCAAACGACGATAAGGCGGCCCTCTTAGCGGCAGCTGCCGCRGCAGCTTGCGCCGCTGCAGGCGTTCGGGGATTGCTCTGCCCCTTGATCTTGACACGAGTCCTGGAATCGAATCAAGATAGGAAGGAAACATAGATATTAATTCGGAAACAAGTCAGTGCTAGAAAAGCACAACTTCCCTTCGGAATGCAAACAACATCGAACGAAAGCGAARGAGAACAGAAAGGACAGAACAAAGCGAGAACTCACATGCTGTGGCACAACTCCGGATGTCCCTTGACAAAGTATTGGTGGTAGCAGGCCCCCCGGTCCGGCCCCTTGGCCACGCTCTCAAATCCCCACAAGTTCAGGCTGCGTTGAAAGGTCTTGTATTTCTGGCTGGCGAAATATCCCGGCATGATCTCCTCGCAAAAGAGTTCTTTGTTGTGCACCTTGAAGCCGTTTCCCCCTGGAAGCCACGAGATAATGTCCGTTTTGCCGTTTTTTTCTGCCAGGTGGAGCATCTCGTGGAGTTTCCAGGGAAACTGTAGGAGCTGGCCGCCCCCTCCCCCCGTCCGAAGCGTCCCCGGGTCGGTTCCCACCACCGAGGCCGAGGAGGTGCCGTTCGGAGCCGCATGGCTCGGAACGYGGTTCACCGTCGTGGCTGCCGCAGCTGCGGCTGCGGGCACCTTGGGGCGGGTGTTCATCGGGATTAGCTTGGGCTGCATCTTTTGCTGGAGTTGCGCCTGCATGGTGTGTAATTGCTGCTGCATATTGTGCATTTGCTGCTGTTGCTGCATGTTGATCACCATWGGYGGTGGTGGCTGGGAGACTCCTGCGGCATTCACAGGTGCTGGAGGAGCGATCGGCTGGGGAGCGAGGGCAGGCATCTGGACGACGGTCGCGTTCGCTGTCGACTGCCCCCCGTTGTTCTGGAGCGCCGGTGCGGGTGCCGGTCCGGGCTGCTTCACATACTTTATCGCCCCCATTGCCGGGTCACCTCTCGACATGAGGGGAGCCAAGACTGCTCCGGAATTTTCGTTCGTTCCAAAATTCGTTTGGGACGTCATGATGATATGGTTGTTGGATTGGTTTGATCGGCCCACCAATATCTAGATCGATCGAATCGAATCGAATCGAATCGAATCGAATGCCAATCGGAGAGCTGGGTACTTCTGAATAGACAGCGAGCTTTTGAGGGACCGGCTAAACAATTGGGACCACCTATCTGTTCCAATCCAAGGATCGAAAACGACCCTCTGCTTACTGCAGTGTAGTTTCGTATCGTCCTGTCAGCAACAATACCGTAAGTGGTGTCGTTTGCTTCGTTGCGGCGGTGTTGGATTTTGTTTTGAATTCAATTGAACAAAATTCTCTTTCGGGTTTTTGAATCGGAAAAGGATAGCTCTGGAAACAAATACAAATAGATGAACAAATGGGACATGCGGGTTGGAAAAAAGATATGATCTGTGGGTTCGTAAGGGAACAACTAAAGTGCGCTTTCAGAGTTCTCTATTGCGGTACTTGTACTCGTGCTCGTGTGGTAAACAGGTATTCGTAATTGCAATAATGATGTTGTTGTGTTTCAATAGAAGCAACGGGAGAACCACAGCCGAACCCAAAGAAATGCAACTCAGAGAAGCACGAAGAATGGCAATTCAATAGGTTGTCGCTCGTTGGATTTATTTTTTGGTTTGGTACGATGATAATGATTCATATTCAATGTGCAGGAATACTTTTACACAGTCGAACCGGTACGTGGACTCGTTCTGTGCCTGTTTGATTTGTTCTTCTCCATCTGGTTCTTGTTTTTCGTCAATCTGTCTCCACAAAAATGAACGGCAACAACGCGTATTACCGTAGGACCTCGTACTATGAGTTCTACCCAATTAGCTTTATTGTATAAATATACTATCCCCGTTGTACTAGAYCCCKCAAATTCGAAAACTGGATGGTTCGGTGACGAACGCAATGATTTGGTTGGCTACGAACCGGTTCGGTTCCTCCTGTGTTGCGATCGAGTGCCGATAAAAATTAAAAATGTCTCGGACCGAGCGAGCGTGGATGCGGTATTCGTACATACGAGAACGTTCCGTTGSACTACGTACCGTACATTCATACCCTGCACAGCGTCATCTGCTCGTGGCAAAGCTTTTTGATTTTTGTTTACGTACCGGTACGTACGGTGCCGTACTCCTGTAGCTACGAGGGTACGAGTGCGAATAATCAGTACTAGTACTTCGTTACCGTACGAGTACGTACGTACTAGTAATCATTAATCATACTCTAGTACCGTATCGTACGTACGRCGTCCGTTTGTTGCGATGAATCTTCGACGATGAGGATCATGATTTTTGACTGAGAATTATGATTTTTTATGGAAGATGATGTCTCCTGTGTTGTGGGCTTCTCATGTTTAGTTTTCCCCAGTGCGACAGTACCATGTACAGTACGTACACCAGTATCCAATTTTTGCAACCGATGTTGCAAAACGGTCGAAGGAGTCGGTCAGTACTTAAAATACGTAGGGTTTTACGTAGGCTATAATATCCCAACTGATCCCACTCCATTTACCACCGTACTTACACTCCCTACATAAATTCTGGTAGGAATTCTACTGTGCAACCGTATTGACTTTTCTGCTGTGGTGGCATCCGCACCTCTTTTGGTTGCCTAAAACAGAGCAAATTACACTGAGTATGCAACAATTTTGCAACTCCTTCTTTGCCTCGTCACGAGAGGTGCATTTTTTCGCTCACAATTTTATACGACTGGTTCAAGCAAAACCCCAATCAACAAGCAAATACTGCAAGAACAAGCAAATACTGCAAGAACAAGCAAATACTGTAAGTATCGAATATCGAAAAACAGCAGCACAAGAGTCGTATCCTCGCAGACCAGCCCCGTTGACTCACGAGAGGTGCATTTTTTGCTCAGGATTTGCAGCACCAGTCCTCGCATACGAGTATCGCATTGAGTACTGCTGGTTCAAGTACCGGTTCAAGCAAAACCCCAAGCAATATCGAAAAACAGTAGCATTACTACTAAGAACAATGGTAACAGCTCAGCAAGCGGAAGAACGTGAGGACGACAGGGGTAGTACGACGCGTGCCCGTAAACGCAGGGGGGGGCCGGTAACTCCTCCAAGAGACGTGAACCAGCCAGGGCAATGGAAAAGATACCATACAATTCTATTGGAGCTAATGGACCATGTACATGGAAGAGTAGATGAAGGAGGAGACAATGATAATCGGTTTCCTAATGATACTCTATTCACAGATGAGCAGTTGAGTATTCTAACACCGGATCATATTTACAAGTTCTTTGCAAAGAAAGCTTTTGGTCGCGAGGATCCCGGTGTGGATGATAATCCTACTGAAGGAAGATCTTCATCCCTTACTTACTACAAGAAGGCGTTATCCTATTTCATGCCAAACAAGCTGCACAAGTGGACTGTTATTGGCGGTGTTGGCAGTGGGAATCCTACCAAGTCCCAGCAAGTAAATGACCTAATTGCTGCTGTTATCAAGAAGGAAACGAGAGGACTTGGACAAGCAAGCAGCATGGATAGGCCTCTTACAAAGGATGAGTTTTTGCAAACACTAGAACTGATGGGGAATCATGGCCATCTCATCAAACGGCTCCGATATCTTGCAATGATTAAGTTCCAGTTCCATCTGATTGGTCGTAATGATGATACAGCACATGTTGGAAAGGATAGCTTAGAAAGATCTGCTGAATTTCCTGGATTCCTTACAGCAAAGATGAAGTGGTCAAAGAATGTAAGGGAGGAACGCGACTGCCCAAAGCAGATCTTGCTTGGATCCATGGATCATCGCGCTTGTGTTGTACTGGGGCTTGCATTGTATCTTGAAAAGTGGTGCAAAGCCGACGGAGCAGCAAGCCAATGGCTATTCACGGAAGGAACTACAGATAGTAGATCTCCACAAAAGGATGTTGCAAAAGAGGTGAATAAGGGGAAGGCTGCATACTCTAATTTCATCAAGCGCTATGCATTCAAGAATCCTGTCTTTGTTCATGAAAGACCACCATCCGAAGGCAAACTTGGTACTCACTCCATTCGGAAGTATGCCACAACATATGCTAGACAGTGTGGTTGCACAAGGGATGAGGTTGATTATAGAGCGCGTTGGAAGTCTCGAAGGCAACAGGATCGATATACCGACACACAGCTTGCTTGGCCTGATATTAATGTTGCTAGTAAGTTATGCTTTGGAGGAATTTGTCTGTACAAGCCCCTACATGGAACAGGAGTGACAGAGGAGTGGCTTGCTTCTTCAGTTGCCCCTAATATTGCCAATGTGTTTGGTAACCAAGTTGCAGCAATCCTAGGAAAGGCATTGCTTTGGGCTTGCTGTGATCCGGCAATGCAAGCATCCGGCTTGATTCCTGAGGATGTAAAGCAGGATGTTGTCGGTTCGTGGGTTCAACTCAACTACAGTCACCCAGTTGGTCAAAGACTAGATGCTGATGTGAATCCAATCAAGCGCGTTGAGCTGACTGCTAACGAATTCAGTGGGCAAGTTCACTTTGATGAGCTTGCTGATCCGGATGATCTGCTCGATGGAGGAGCCCCTGGAGCTGCTGGAGGGACTGCTGTTGGGATTCGTAGGACTCAGCTGCAGTGGAACCATGCAATGTTCTCAAAGCTCTTTGCCACAGCTAATGAAGTGAATGATATTAAAAATAGGCAGATTGCAGCTGAGGCCAAGTTCATTCGGAAGCTGAATAGAGCCATTGAGTTGTCCCAAAGAGCTGCAATGGCACCAGTCGTAAGAAGGAGACCCCGGGCCCCTCGTGCGTTGAACAGTGGCGCGTCGGAGACTGGCAACAACGCTGAGCTGTGCAAGTGTCCTAATGATCTTTATGTCCTCTGGAATGAATGGGAAGTGGGTGTTGGTTTTAATAAGCCTGCAAAGGAGTTCACTGCTGCTGAGAGAGGACGTGTTAAGAGCAAGTACTGCAGGCGTTTGAAGTTCTGGAAGTGCATGGAGAGGCTCATTCGTGCTGGCGCTTCTTCTGAAACTGCTGTTAGGCAAATCTATGCAGTGTACGGTGGTCCGACCAAGAAGGTCTCCTATATTCTTAGAGCCATGGCTCCCCATGAAGCAGTCGGGGGACACCACTTGCTTAGAGGACCACCTGCTTCTTAATCCTTGTCAGCGTCGATGCGGTCCGCTTCTTAATCCTTGTCGGCGTCGATCGTCGACGTCGATCGTTGACGTTGATGTCGATGCTTCTTTGTTGTGTGTTCCTTACTACTTGCCCCCCCCTTCTTAGTATATCGAAAAATCATAAAAATATAGTGTACTGTGTATATGTGAACTGTAGTATTTTGCTGTATTTTGCTGTCCTCAACAAGAGGACCATCTTATTAGCTGACAGGATGAGCAGCGTCCGTGTCGTCGTTGTTGTGTTATCGACGTGATTGTTGAGAATTACTCTCCCGACTTGGTTTTTTTCTATACAATTTGCCTTGTGCGTGATTGTGTGAGTACTTCTCATCAAACACGCTGATACTCGAGCACTCCAGTCTTGCCACGCACTGTCTATAAGACCTACGAGTCTTATGTACTGTGTCCTACACGGTTGCAATATTAGTTATATTTTCTTTGTGTACTTGTCCAGTACTGCATGGTTCAGTACCGAACTCTTATCGTTCTTTCTACCCGTGAGCAGTGTGGCTCTGCTCATCACAACACGGTTGCTCTCCATTCGAAGAAGACGAGTACCAGGTACCGTACTGCACGGTGATCTTTGACAGGCAATAGCGCTTCGATAGACAGTTAGCTTGACTAGTCAGTGACAACACGCACCAGTAACATGCCGCTCGGARAAATCCCGGCAGCAACAAGATTTGCCTGCGTCGCCGCCAAGTCGACGAAGRTCCTGCGGTCCCGGGGGATATCATCGTCGTCCTTCTTCTCGTCGATGGGGGGAGAAGGACGCCGCAATGCTGCAGCAACTAGCTGCAAAAAATTTCGAACGCACAATCCACAGCCACCACAAAACCATCCGGGTAGACGGAATTACTCGGCGATGCAGCAAAGGCAGCTCCAGAACCACCCCAGACGTCGTGTCCCAACGGAACCGAGAGCCATTGGCCCAAACGCATTCCACGCTATAAGCGTCAAGAGCAGCAGTCCCATTGTCCACCACTCGGTCTCCAAGAGATGGCACGGTGGCCCGCATGTCGACCGCGACCACGCCGATTCCGTCCACGTCACCTTTGTGGACTCGGAGCAGACCCCCATCGCCGAGAACGTCGACGCCTACGTCGGGGAATCCTTGCTCCAGGTCGCCCAGCGCAACGATATAGAGCTAGAGGGTGCCTGCGAGGGCGTTTGTGCCTGCAGCACCTGTCACGTGATCTTTCCCGACGAGGACACCTTTTACAACCTCCTGGAGGAGGCCTCGGAGGACGAGGAAGACATGCTGGACATGGCGTATGGGCTGACGGAAACGAGCCGGCTGAGCTGCCAGATCCTCGTGACTTCCGAGATGGAAGGAATGATGATCGAGATTCCAAAGGCGACCCGGAATTTCTACGTGGACGGRCACGTTCCGCAACCGCATTAGCGCAGCTTTGTAGCGGGGCCGTTGGTTCCTTTTGCGGCTTGGCAACGAATGCGTGGACGAAGCGGGGTGTGATTGCCTCACTCTTCCCAGCAGCACTAGAAGAAATGATTTCCACGAAATATGAGTGTTGTTTGCAAGAGAAAATGAGCATGGATGCAATGCCATGCCATGCAATGCAAAATAACTCCGTGCTGGCATTCTTCAATACCATGTCGAAAAAGCTTCGACAAGTAACCTGAATATATTCCAACCCATCGGACACTATTCCATGACTCCTAGTCTGTAATACTACCATATTCCAACGAATAAATGAATCAATCAATCAATTATTCAACCTTTCTCCGGGTGTCGTTTAAAGTTGTAAGAGTATCATTTTCGTACCAAACTAATGATGCGATACGCCTCGATTTTCTTCGGCGACAGGCCACTWTCGAAAGAATCACAAAGCTTGCTCGTTCTTCACTATCACCCAGTACTACTACTAGTACTACTACCATCAGCACTAACATTCGAAATTGGTTCTTGTTTTCGTTTTCGATTCTCCAAGAAGTACCGCAGTGGATGATGCCATCATGATGTATCCCTATTACATCACCATTGATGGTCTGGAGATACACTGTAAAGAACAAGTTACACTAATAAAATTCTTGGAACACACAAACTAGTAGTACTAACTAGTAATAGTAKTAATAGTAGTAGTAGGCTTATCTCTGTTCTGCTAGATTTTCTTGACTCCTCACAATCCATCCAGATTTCTTACATCTCASTAGTAGTGGTTGGTACGGTAACTACATACTCGCACTGCTTCTTGTTAATATTCTACTGGATGACGGGGAAAACGCGCAGTAAACCTTTTTCCTTTTTCTCGAAAACAAATCATCATTAGGGTTCAAGTTCTTTAGGAGTTGTTTTCCGTGAGAAATAAATGACTGACACAAACGGAGGCGTTTCCTCCCACAAGTACAACTAAAAAATCAACAAAACAAAAATAGCATCATYAGACCACTCTCTTGTGTCGATATAAATTCACTGGATGGCAACAGGCMACAGTCAGGGAAGCAAGCAGACAAGCAGAGACTATCAAAGAGCGAAAAAGTTGGAGGAAGAATCGTGGGAAACTTAGATTCAAAACATCGGGTGAACGGAACGCTGGTACAAAGAATTCAATCAATTTTGAGAGACGAGACGAGACGCAACGCAACGCAACGCAACGCAACTGAGAGGCGGTGCTCATTGAACCACATATTAGGGGAGAAACAAAAACAAGTAAATATAAAATGGCCACAGCTAGACACGTGTCCTCGCTACGATGCCTACCGCGACTTTGGAACGAAAAGACTCTTTTCTTCTGGATGGCAATGACACTGGCACTACTGGCTGTTTCGACCGCCGCTTCCTCCGAATACGAAGACGACCCCGACTACCAGTATTATCGAGCCCGAAGAGCGGCATCCAAGCCCTGGTTGATGAAGGAATTTCTGTTGATGGAGATACACGAATCGGTGCACCAAAAACTCGTTGGTTGGCTCGAATCGATGATGGGATACGACTACGAACCACACTACGCCGACTACATTCCCAGGCAGATATTTGTGTCGCCGTTCACGCTTCTCCTTGTGTTGGTGCTGGTCGCCAATGTTTGGTCCTGGCTCTCGTATCACCTCAGCGGATCCTGGGTGGAAGCCTCGCACATTTTGGTCAAGGACACGTCGCCCAAGACGCTCAAAGCGCTTGTCGGCCTGAAGGAAACCCTGGGGAAGGACGGTAAGATGTTTGGTCTTACTGCCCAGCAATACTCCCAGTGTCCCTCGGCAAACGACAAGGGCAGTCTGGGACGATTCGGTCCGGGGGTCATGGCGCCGCCCTTCGACGCAGTGTGCTTCGATCCGCAGACACCACTGAACACCACCGTGGGACCGGTCCAGACCCAGTTTGGCTACCATCTGATCTACATCAAGAAGCGAAAGTTTTGAGAACAGCGGTGTGGTGGAAAGCACTGTATATCGTGTGTATATTATTCGGAGTGTGATATTTTGAAGGATGCAATACGCTCTTGCAACRCACGAGACTAGACCCAACGCACCTCATTCCGTTCAACACGAGTCGTGATTCGCGGTACTAAACCGAACTATCTGTAATACAATTCTTGTAATTCAAGTACTACGCCAGCATAGAATTGGTTGGATCCAATACGAATGATTATTCATAATRACTAATAATGTTCCTTGAACTCGACTCGATCTAGTTTTGTTCCATGTCGAGGAACTATTTTTTAGGAATATATGTGGGTGATGTAGAAAATACGATAAATAAAAATGTAGTGTACTAATAATATTTCAATATAAAAACATATCATGTAGAGCATGCATACCGGTGGGAAACTTTCAAACGCCTCTTCCGATATCGCCGTCGATTAAAAAAGAACAAAGATCTGTTCTTGCTTTCCCGTATGGGATTTGTCTTGCCGTAAACCATTTCGAACAATGAATCCCTTTTTTACATTTGTTTTGTTCCGCTCCGTTTACAACCCCGACTCCTCGTCGTCGCTGTCGTGGTCGTAGCTGATAGTAACTTCCACGCTCGAAACGGAGGAGCAGACCTGTTCGGAAAAGAGACGCAAAAAACAGATAATGAAAAACGARAGCCCGACGCAAATCCCGTAATAGATCGCTACTACCAACAACGGGGCCGTGAGGACCAGATCGTAAAAGTTCAGGAGGCTCAGCAACATGAGGCTTCCAAAGATAAGGCCGCACTGGAATCGGAAAAAGTCTAGGATGGCCTCGAGGTTCGAGTGGATCGACTTTCGAGCACCAACTCCTTTCTGTTTCGACACAGTACTGCGCCGACGGGCGTGTTTGAGTTTCTTGCACATAGCCATGACAAGGGGGGACAAAAAAAAGATGATAATCACCCAGTATCGTGCCAAGAAACCAAGGCCCAAAATCAGGGGGATGCGGAGTGCATCTTGGGCACCACTACCTGCACCACTGGCGTCGTTGGCCTGGAGCATCGGCATGACAAATACATTGACGTAGTACGAGAGCGCCTGGAGGATTATGCCGAGAGCGAGGCCGCCGTAGAAACTACAGTTCAAGACCTGACACTCGGTGGTTTGCGACGACTGATCGAGATCTTCGTCCTCGTTGACGTGGATCATGAGTTGCTTCGGTTTTTTCTTGTTCTTAGCGATAGATTTTTTTCTCTTGGAAACCACCTGGTTCGAATTGTTGCTGCTGTTGTCAGCAATGTGGAAAGACATGACACAGCTATCGTCGGCAGTATAGGAGTTGTTGTTCTTGCCGAGGAGAGGAGCTTCCAGGTCCATCTGGAGCTGTTCAATTTCTTCCAAGGGGGTATCGTTGGTGAGGTTCAAAATGTTCATCGTCTTGAATAGGTGGTTTCGATCGATGGATTGAATTCAATGTATGGTAGTTCTTCGAGTAAGTTCTCTTCCAGGAGCTGGTTGTGGCGGTGACCAATTGGAATTAATTGTTTCTTCTATTTGTTGGCTTCCTTCTGTTTTCTTTCTTTTTAGTAAGGAAAATCGTGTGATGTGAGGGGAGAGAAAAAAATGATGAAAAAGCTGACATCGAAACGACTCGTCGCGTCTTGACACCCATACTTTACCGGGCGGTACAACCTCAACAAATCTGTTGATGGGTGGATTACATTCAAAAATTTAATTGTTGAAGAACACAGAAAGGTTCTACTATTAGTACGTTCGGTGCATTACTTAACACAACACACCCCTTTCGTTCTGATTGGCTTCTGGTACACGACATATTAAACAACGGTGTGCGTACGAGTGCCCCGTCCTCGTCCAGACAAGATTTAAAAATGAAAGTGGGAAAGCGAAAACTGACCAATGGCTGTTACATCCCTCACCTTCCCTCTAGCGTAGTGATAGTACCGTACCGAAGAAGCGTACGATTTGAATCTGGTATGAATCCAAACTGAAAGTTGAGAGCCAGCCGGGCTTTTGTGGGAGCCGTTGAAATTCTGAGACAAATTCTGAAAGAGTACATGCGGACGTTACACTACCGGTAGTACTGTACCCTACTTGTACATCAGAAGTTTGACAATTTAAAATTAACATCACGTGTCTCGGCAGTCGGCAGCGTTTCGTACTGTGGAAACTTCGCGCTCATGTTCAGATTCCCCCCTTCTGACGTTGCCCCCAAAATTCTTTTCAGACAAATAACCAGGGGTCATAATTTAGGAGGGGTGCGCAACGCGTCGAAATCRATATTCCATCCTTGGTACCAATAAGAAAAATTTCCCACAAAGATTTTTTTTCATCWCATTTTTACTGCATAACTCTGCATAAAGTGTACCTGAAAGACCTCATGCACAGGAACACTTCCAATCACTCTCTGATTTTCAAACTTCATATGCACATCTCTCATACAGTTGAGAGTCAAGTAGTAAGTGTTTCTTGGATGTTATTGCTGTTTGTTGTTTGTTGTTCGATGTACTGATATAGGGCTGGTAGTACCACCACATTAGTACTCTGCCCTTCATCCAATTTTGTGAAACCAGTCCAGTCCCTAGCAAAAATTCGAACTGTCTGTCCTTCATCCGTTTTGCCTTCTAAATCACCAGCAGTGGTTCTACAGCTAGTCGTAGTAGTAAAATGGTCTTTTATGAACAATAAAATGATAGCACAAMAATGCATTTGATATCAAAGAAAATGGTAAATTCAGAATCCTCACAAAAAGGTGGTATAGGTGCAATAGTTTAAAATTATTATAGTGGTATTTTTGATAAAGTTATGACTACTCACAAGTTGAATAGTTTTACTAGTATTATGCAGTAAAAATAAAATGGAAAAAAAAAAGTTTATGGGAAATTTTTCTTATTGGTACCACGGATGGAATGGAATTTTTTTCATCCTGATGCTGAAAATCGTGCGCGTTGCACACCCCTCTAAATTATGACCCCTGCAAATAACCTAGTACAAATAGTAGCCCAGAAAGCAACCATTTTTACAAGGATAAAACAAAAAACATCAATTTTCTTTTTTTTGGGTAGATCCCGAGAAGAACCGTTGAAATCGCCGCTRTGACCTTATTCTGGCCCTAGGAGTGCAAACTGGAATGAATATGAGGTATCAGAATAGAGGCTTCTTCTTGTATCAAAATTACGATTTTGTTGCCTCAACACCCACCACTCGAGACACGGTACAATAATCAAAACCATTAATGCTCTTCGATCTAATGAAAATTGTTCTAATTTAATATAGATTTAATATAGCTACTTCACTATTTYGCCCCCTTCGTCTACTGTTGGATGCCAGTTCATGCACCGAAAGTGAGAGCGTTTAGTGTCGTGTCCCGAAAAGCGTTGATGGATTGGTTCGTTGCAAGGCCSATGATGGGTGTGGCTTCCGGGGTTGGTCCGCTGCGGCTAGTCGTCGCCACCCCCCTTGCCCTTCTTGCCCCCGTTCTTCTTGCTGCCACCGGCCTCGCCCCGTTTTTTCTGCTGGGATTTTTTCTTGGAGGTGACCTGCTTGGCGTGCGASCGCTGCTGGAGCTGCATCTCCTTGGCGGCCATCCGGCTTGCCTGGAGCCGGGAGCCCTGGCTGGAGTGCCGGGCCATCAATCCCTTGTACTTCTTCCCAAACTGCATCGATCGGGAACACTGCATGTGGTAGTGGCTCCCGGCGTGGTGGACGTTGGCCCGCCGACGGGCGTTGTCGGCCGCGTCCTGCTTGCGGACGTACTGGGCCGGGAGTGCCTTGGAGTTTCCCCCCTGCAGGGCGAACTGGCGGGCCATGAGCTGGCAGTCCTCCTTGTGCCTCTTGTAGGCGTCCAGCTTGTTCTGGAGGTCTTCGATGTTGGCCTGGAGGACCTCCTGCAGGAGGGTCTTGCCCATGGCTATGGCGTCGAGTGGATCGAAGGTTTCGGAGGAGCGGTCCCGCGGGGCAACGCCCCGGGAGGCGAGGGTCTTTCGCAGCCGGTGCTGGACGGAGGCGATCCGCTGCTCGTTGGCATCGTAGTCGTCCGGATCGTAAGTCTCGTGGAAGGGAAGGGCCCGCGGAGCTTGKGCTTCCGCTTCCTCTGATTCCTCGCGCTTCCTGCGCTCGTCGAGCTCGCGCCGGAGGATCTCGTTCTGGGCAATCAGCTCGTCGAAATCGATGCGGTCGTCTTCCCCGTCGTCTTGCTGGGGTGGCTGTTTCTTGCCGCCGCGGCTCCCGGGTGGGGGATCCTTCAGCCGGTCCGGGGAAAGCTTTTGATCCCCATCTCTATCGCCTTCGTCGTCGTCGTCGTCGTCGTCGTCTTCCTCGGAAGAATCGTCGTCGCTGCTGCTAAATCCGGCAGCGGCGAACCCCGCAAACACGTTTCGTCGCTGGTTGGAGGTAGGAAGATAGTCGTCGTCGCTATCGCTATCGCTGTCCTCGTCACTGTCCTCTGAGACGGATGCAAGGAGTTCCCCGSGTTCGTTTTTGCTTTCCAACAAGTCCCCGCCKTCCGAGTCGTCACCGCTGTCACCATCGTGTTCCGGAGCGATGGAACCAACCTTCTTCGAATTTTCCTTTGCGCTTGTCTTTGCCCTGCTGGCGCCGTTCTCCTCGTTGTCTTCCTCGTCGTCGTCGTCGTCGTCGTCGTCGTTGTAGAGCTCGGCTTCGTTTCCGTTTTCTCCCCTCAGCTCGATGTGGGTGACCAGCAATCCCAGGTCTTCGTAGATCCGGCACTTTTGCTTGTGCTTCTTGCTATTGACGTGGTTCAGAAACTGGTTTTTGGTGGCGTACCGCTTGTCGCAGCACTCGCAGATAAAGACAAAGTATTCCAGGATCGGTTCCGTTGTGMAGGCTGTTTCTTCTTCGTCTTCCTCCTCCTCCGCGTTCTCCCCTTCCAGTTCTCGTTGCTGCTGTTTCTTCTTGCGATACTCCTCTTCCTGCTGCTKCTTCCGCCGCTCCTCCTCCTCCCTCTGCTCGCGKAGCTGCCGCTTCCGCAGGTCCTGCCGCAGGTGCTTCTTGGAGCGCTTCTTGACGTTGAACCGGGTGTACTCCGGCTCCGGCTCGTAGCCCACCTCGTATTCCCCGTGTCCCTCGACGGGGGCCACGATGTTCCCCGTCTTCCCGGCCGCGAGGGCCGCCTCCGCCTCGGCCTCCGCGGCGGCCTCCCGGAGGCGCTGTTTGCGGGCGGCCGTTTCCTGCTTCWGGCGCTGGCGTTCCTTTTTGCTGCGGGCGGCCCGGTTGTGCGCCTCCTTTTGGCAGTGCGGCATCTGGACGGTGCGTCGTGTTCTKTTGGTTTTGTTTGTTGGGTGGCTGTTGCTGTTCTCTGAGACGCTGTGCTATGCTGTATTCTGCTGTATTCTGCTGTTGGATGGAATGCGTTGCGATGACACGAATCGTTCTCAGGTGTCGTTCCGCTACGAGTACTTTTCAACATCAAAATTCATCAATTCGTCCATCCATCCTCCATCCAATACCCCTCTGCTATGCCGTGACCCAGAGTTAGTGCTAGTAGTAGTTTCTGTAGTATCGAACGTACCGTAGAATATAGTACATCACTGTAAAATGCTTCCGAACTCGTCGTACATTATGTCGTACTGTATCGTATGTACGTAGGCTTCCATCGTACAGTACGTACTCGTAGTAAGACAGTACGTAGTACGTAGGTATGAACTACGGTTCATGTACTGACGACTGACGGAAGTTATTGGTCGCGTCGGGGGGAAATACGAGTAACTAAGAGTACGTAGTACGTACTCGTACCCGTCCGTACAACCCCTGTGGTAATGGTAGTACCGGTATTTCTTCATACCGATTCTTGTACTGTACGTACGTACGGGACCAGGCGCTCGTACTGCAACTTGATAATGATATCATCATCTTGTAGTCTCTCATCTTCTTTGCTTGCCRTCATCATCATTATCATCCATCATCGTTCCWCAGAGTAATTCAGACCGACACAGGACGAGACAAGACGAAGAAACGCAAATCGACACCACACGCATTGTTGATTGTGAACCGCTGAATCTTACCGCATCGCATTGATTCGATTCGATTCGATTCGATTCGATTCGACTTGAATTGGTTTGATTCCATTTCGTTTGAATCGCATTCCGTTCCGTTCCATGGCGCCGCGTTCGGTTCCGATCGCTGCCGCCGCGTTCGCGCTGGCCGTTGCGGCTCTCTGCGCCACCACGGTGCGGGCCCTCTCCCGGGAAGCCCCGGGGGCCGGAGGGCCGGCGGCGGTGTGCGGGAGGGAGGATCCCCCCCGCCTCGTTCCKACCGACGCCGTCGAAACCATCGCCAGCGGGGGCGTCGCCGTCCTCGAGGGCTTTGTCCCGGCCGGCCTGGTGGAAAGGCTCCGGGCCGATGCCACCGGCCTGCAGGAGGGGGGGCACTTCCGGCCCGACGGCCTGACCAACAACGCCCTCGCCACGCAGGGCTTTACCCGGGGGGCGGACCGCCAGACCTTCCGGAACCCCGAGACCGGGGAACAGTCCTGGTACCGGGCGGACCTGGGGGACGCCTCCACGCGGCTGGAATTCGACCGGTTGCTGGCCGCCGTCAGGATCCAGCTGGCCAGGGACCTCGACCGACCCACCCTCCTCGGCGGGAACCACAACCCAAACAGCGACGAGGACAAGGACAACAACAACGATGGACGCCACGAGATTACCTACAACTGGTACGAACCGGGAGCCAGGCTGGGAAGGCACCTCGACGAACACCACGAGGAAACGAAGGGGCCGCGGGGCTGGCGCTATCCGTCCCGGAGAAGCGTGACGTGGCTCGTCTACCTGAACGACCACTGGAAGGCAGAGGAGGGYGGTGCTCTTCTGTGCCATCCCCGCAACAGCCATGGCGGAAGCAACGACGACAACAACAACAAAGGCGGCAGCAGTGCCAATGCTGATACCAATGCCAGTGCCAACAGCCGCTACGACGGGGATCCGATCGGCTCCCACGAGGGAAACCTSCAGGTGGGATGGATCGACGGCTTCACCCCCGTCTACCTCGATGCCTTTCGGGAGAGCGGCCAAACGGCCCTCTACTCGCTCTCGSACGGGCCGGAACGCCGCTACTGGACCGAGAGGGACTTTGACGTTCCGGCCCAGCCCATCGAGTTCGGTGTCTTTTTGCCRGAGGCCCTGCGGCCCCGGTTCGAACAGATTTCCACGGCAAAGAACGACCCCCGGTTTGCGGCGGCGTCGCCGGCCAAGGAAGAACCGGCGGCCATCTCCGGCCCCGACACCGCCCCCCACGAAGAAGCCATACGGGTGGTCCCCGCCGGGGGGACCCTCGTCCTGTTCGATTCCGTCACCCTGCCCCACTCGGTYCTGGAGGTCACCGGRAAGCGGCAACGGATCGCGGCGACGGGATGGTTCCACGAGGATTCCCAGTTCGCCCTGCCGGTGTAGACCCACGGCACAAACAGCAAACAGCCCRAGCGAATGCGAGTTTCTCTGKGCGGCCCGGGGCCGGRGACTGGCTTTTCGTCGGACCTATGGCTGGGGATGCACTATTCTTTGGCATGACCTAGGGCTRGGGGTGTGCCTTTCATGGTTTTTCCCTGGGCCTGGGCCCGGGTGTTTGCGGCTTCTTGGACCTAATAGGGCTGGGAACGGGGCCGCTTGGGTGTGGGTGTGGACGTGCTTGAACAGGAACGCCCACCCCAACGGCCGTCCCTACCTGCCGATGGGTTGCCTTTGTTGGCACGCTTTGCGTGCCTTGCACAAGATGGGTGCCGGTCACGGCGTCGAACYCAACCCCCTCCTTGCAGCGTTGGCACGGGCTCTCGGTGGCAACGAGTAGAGCGAGCTGCACTACAACTATATACTACTACAACTAAAACTAGAACTAGCATGTCTACCGTCCTCCTCTCGAATYGCAGGTCAACCTCCCTCCCTACTTGTTGGTGCGTGTACTACTAGTATTGGTACCACCGTCCCACCAGCAGCAAACTCATCGTCGCTGCTGCTGTTGCTGCTGCGAAAGGAATGATGGTTGAACAACACCAATGCTTGTTTCGATTCACTAGCACTAGTAGGTAGCTTGCTTTGGACAGCCGTTCTGTCCAACTGGCGATTCCAGGCTTCGAGACTTCGATCCGAGGCAAAACTCACGAGGCAGATCCTCGTACGTACATATGTATATGTACCGTACGTACTACAAGACCCCTGCTACAAGCACTGTACGGCATCGGCGGCATCAGTTTTTTGTTTTTTTCTACATACCGGYAGGTTTTCGTTTCGAAGATGCCGTTCCACGGTTGGGTTAGCGTCTGGCAGTCTGTCCCAATCCCAAACAGAAACGGGAATGAGCGATTGTTGATTGTTTCGTGTCGACGTAACAGAGATCGTAACATAAAGTACCGTACGCTACGGTACGTACATACCGTAACTGCCTGGACGGTACCAAGTACGGTACTTCGTTCAATAAAAATCGAAACCGAAACTACCGCAACGAAGCAGAATGTGGCAACTCCAAACTCTGAACCGCCACCGATGGAACAAGCCTAGGGTGCCGCCACGGTACAGAACACAACACAACAGAACACAACACAACACTCATACAGAACGCACACCGCTCGTGCCACGCCGCAACGCAGCGCAACAGACACGGCCGTGGAACGGCAAGCCGGCATGCGTTTTCCGAGGGGCCGGCCTCCGATGCGGAACTCCCGTGTTGCTGTCGTTCTCGCCGTCACTGTTTCCGTCGCCGTTTCCCTTGCGGCACCGGCGGGGGTTGCGGCCCTGTCCCTCGCGCCACCGGTCGGAATCGGTCCCGGCCGCTGCCTTGGAGCCGGATACAACCCCTCTGCTGCGGCACGTCCCGCGGTGGTGGGGCCGAAGCGGTGGGGGTTTCGCGACAGCGGCCGGCTTTGGGCGGGGAGCGAGGACCCTGGAAACCCCGACGGATTCGAGGAACCATCGGTCCCCGGTGCGAGGAAGAGCAGCAAAAGCAATGGTAACGATATTGACAACGACAACGCAAAGAAGAACAGGGAGCGAGCCACCCAAGACCGACTCCAGAGGAGGAACCAGCGCAAACAACATCGGCAACGCCAGGAACGACCRCCGCAACCGCTGCGTACCCAAGGCCCCCCGAGCGAGAAGGGGACCCGCCCAAGCCGCGGCCGCCGGAGCGGAACCGGCGGATGGGAGGAAGGCATCGAAGGCCCGATCCCTTCCACCGGGGGGAGGCGCTCCCGGGCGGAAAAGCGCAGGAGGCGGAGGGACGACCAGAGGCGGAACCGGCCGACGTCCTCGGACGCCCTCGCGGAAGCGGTGGCCATGGGCACCCGGGCCACCGGGATCCTGGGCCGCAAGACCGRTAGGCTCTGGAGGGACCTGGCGGAAGCAACGGCTGCGGCGGCCGAAGAGTCCTACGGGGAAGGGGCCACCGGCGGGTACTACCCAGAGAGCAACAGCGGCAGTGGCAGCAACAGGCGGAACGGGCGCCGCACGGGCAGCAAGAGATCCGGGAGGACCCGGCGATCGGGGTTCAACTGGCCGGTGCCACCGGGAGAGGGAGGAACCACCGCGCGAGGGCGGCGGCGGAACCGAAGCGGGGAAGCCTCTTACGGCGCGGAAGGCGACTCGTTGGGATACGGCACGGCCGGCCTTGCGAACGACGAAAACGAAAACGAMRACGAARTCACCACCGTGGAATACTATTACGAAAGCGACGTTCCCGCGGCTCCTCCCGAAAGGAATCCCCCGAGGAGCGGCAGAAACCATCCGTTTCCAACTCGGCCCGCACGGGCAGAGGCACGGGTGGTGRCAGAAGCAAAGGCCTCCGGGCCGATGCCAGRACCAGCATCGGAGACCGGTATCCCGAAACGGGAGCCGTCTCCGGGAGAACCACCTGTAGGAAGGACTGCTGATGGYGCTGCTGCTCCCGYAGCCGGTGCTCCTGCTACTCCGGCCCAGGTTCTCCGGGCCATGCCGCTCGGCCGGCTCCTGGAAGCCCTCGACGAGAAGGACGTGGCGTATTCCCCCCGGGCCTCTCGAAGGGACCTRGAGGAATTGCTCCTGGGGCTGCAGGGCGACGACCTGTCACCAGACCCGGCCACCCAACCAGGGACCGGCACGCTTCCCCACGGCCAAGAACGCGGCGGAAGCAACGGCAGAAGCAGCGACGAACCCTTCGTCTCGGCGGTCAAAAAAACCAACACGCCCACCGAGAACGCACGCGGCGACGAGATCGTCGTGGAGGTGGAATCCATCTCCCCCGAGGAATGGAAGAGGCGGCGGGGGCGGAACGAAGACCCGCGGGGGCAGCCCGCCACCGAAGACCGCCGGGCCCGGCCAACACCGGGCCGGGGTGGCGAGGCCGGGGGGAACGCCGGGAAACGCAAGCCGGGCCGCGGGCCCCCGTCCCCCGGGGCCGGCACCGGGGGACGTCGCCGTACGGAGCAGCGGCCGCCGCCGGTGGATTCCAGTCCGAAGGACCGTCCCGGTCGCCGCGTCTATTCTCCCTGGAGCGGCGGACGCAAGAAGGCCGGGGAAGACGCCGGAGCCAGCGGGACCTCCCGGGGCCGCRGCCACGGCGATCCCGCCGTGAACAAGAGACAGAGAAGAACCACAAAGAAAGAACACGGCGCGAGAGGCACCCGGAAMAAGGCCRACGACGACGACTTTGATCGCTTCGGGGACTTTGTCGAAGGCGACCTGGAACGATTCGGTGACTTTCTTGCGGAGTCCGTAGACAATATCTTCTGGGGAACCACCAGCGAGGAGACAACAGCAGACGGCGAAACCAACCACCACGCGGCGCAAGCGAGACGATCTGCCCGTGGTGACCCCGCGGAGGCATCCGCCCCTCGGGCGAGAGCCCAAGGGAGGAGAGAAAGAMACCGCGGTTTCGCTAGCGAACGAAACAGCGGGGACCAACCACCCAAAACGGAAAGCAGGCGCCACTGGAAGGACAAGGCGGAGGAACGGCTCGACCGCGCCATGGGCCTGCACGGCACGGGAGGCAACTCCGGATCCTACGACCGGTGGACCAAGAAGCAGCGGAGGAACCCCCGCGGGCGCAGAGCGTGGGCCGGGAGGAGCCCGCGGCGGTTCCAGCGCGAGCGGCCGTTCTGGGAGGAGGAGGGATCGCTTTTCTCGGTCCTCTTTGGGGACGGGCCCTCKCCGTTCTTTACCGGCCTGGACGAGGTTCTGGGAAGCACAACGGGCGGCGGAGGAAGGAACGCCGGTGGCCGGACCCTCTCGGTCCTCCTGAAAAACTGCGCGGTGGTCCTGGCGGGGGTCGCCGGATCCCTGTGCCGGTGGGCCAGCGTCCACGACACCCTCCCCCGCCCCCTAGTGTTCTTGGGTGCCACYGCCGCCGGTCTTCTGTCGGGGCCGGGCGGGCGGATCAGGRGCGTTTTCCTCGCCCTCTTGTCGGCGAGGGTCCTGGGGGAGTGGCTCTACGACGGCGGTGAAGGCGATGCCGAGGGCTTCCTGTCGCGGGAGGCCCGTGGGAAGGATGGAGGCGGCGACGGTCCATGCGACGAAGACGACGATGGCGATGACAAGGGCCTCCCGGGGGCTTGACAACGAGCACGGAACCAACAGTGATAGCAAGGTGTTCAAAGGTGGCCTTGCTTCGATCCGGGGACGGCTCCGCTCGTTTCGTTCCCATGCGGCAGGCGACGAGACGGTTCTTCCGAAGGAGTGGAAACGAAACGAAACGAAACGAAACGAAACGAAACGAAACGAAACGAAACGAATGTAATATACCGAGCGTATGTGAAAACTTTTGTGAATGCTATGTTTCAATGCGGTAGAAGGATTGTCAATTAGTTTTTCGACCTCGTTCGACGACTGGATCTTTCTGCTTCGCAAGTTACGGTGCAGTCTTTCCGATATGGCGTTGCCATGGTTTCGTGCTAGAAGGGAAAGAGCAAAGAATAGCATAGAAAAGGAGAAGAATCGCCGTACTCGTGTATGCGCAAGATGAAGTCCGGGACGAGAGCAACGAAAAATGAGCAGTGTCCTGGGCCCTATCGAATCGGCTTCATCCTGTAACTTTACCGCTGCTACACAACTTTATTGACGGCAAAGCATTTAAGAAASTCATATTAGCCTTTTTCAAACTAGTGGTCCTAAATTTTGTCATCGTCCCTCCATTTCTGCTATCAGTGTCTCAAGTTCTTCCCATTCTTCCATCAATTCCATCACTTCTTCTTCTAGCGTCTCCTTTTCTTTTGACAAATCCACTAGCTTTCCGACATCGCTTCCATTGGCCATCATTTCTTCGTCCAAAACCGCCATTTTTTCCTCCTTTTGTTCTACCAGAGTTTCGATCTTCGAGATTCGTTTCGGTGCGTTATAGGCCATTTTTCGGCGCTTTGCGTCCAGTTCCTTGTCGACCACGGCCGACTCTCCGCCTTCGTTGCTACTGTCGGTGGCGTCGTCTCTGGACTTCTGAAAGGTGGCCACGGAAGAATCCCAGTCGCTGTCGTTGGTGTTGCGCTGCTCCATTTTCAGAGTTCCCTCRTCTGTAATTGTCAACACGTGCGTAAATCCGACCTGTTGACAAAAGGCCTTGTCGTGAGAAATTACCACGATGGATCCCTTGCCATCGCCCCAATCCGACAAAACCTCGCTGAGGGCCTCCACGCTACAAAAACGRGACGCGGCAGGATACATTTTAGGTGAGACAAGATTTAGAAGCAGACTTGCAATYGGCAATAAGTCCTCGCCGGGCGGACCGAGTTTGCTTGCCAGYGAAACAACGAGTCTGAAGAGACACAAAAACAAACAACAGGGGCAGAACCTGCAGCATTCAATTCACGYACCATTCCACGTCCAGGTGATTGGAAACCTCGTCCAGTAGATATAAATTGCTCGGTTTCAGAGCAAACATCGCAAGCGCTACCCGGGCCTTTTCTCCCCCCGACAGCTGTCCTACCAACCGGAGAGCTTTGTCGCCCTGCAGGCCAAGGCCTCCAAGAACATTTCGGGCCTCTTCGTCGGTGATGTATAGGTCTCCGTCGTCTCCAGACCGCGCGTGTTCCGTGACCAAATCAACAGCTCGCCGAGTGGGATCCAATTCCTGTGCTAGATCTTGCGTAAAAACCCCTAGTTTCAGATTGGAATCCTCCACCCGATCGCCWTTTAGCAATGGGAGCTTGCCCCGGAGAGTGTCCAGGAGGGTCGTCTTGCCGGCCCCATTGGGTCCGCGAATCAAGATTTTCATGCCCTGTTGAATGTTCAATTCGATGTTTGAAATCAATGAGACCGCCTCCTGGGTTCCGTCGTCTTCRCCACCGGCATCGGGATAATATCCCACAGCTGCATCGTCGCACAGGGACAGCAAGACTCCGTCGTCGCCAACGTCGTTGCCGCTGCCTCTTCCGTCCATAGCACCACCCTGTGGGCGAGGCGGTGGGGGCAGYGTCATACGGGGTTTGAAACGCTCAATCTCCGAAACGGCGTTGTCGGTCGGTGGATCTAGGAGCCCCTGGGCTCGCATCTTTTCGATCTGCTTGACGCGCGACTGGGCCGCCGATGCCTTTGTGGCAGACGCCCCGTATTTGTCGACGAAGGCCTGGAGCTTTGCCGCCTTTTCCATGTTCCTTTCGTATTCAGTGGCAGCAGCGTACGCACGTTCCCGTTTCTGCTGYAGGTATTGGTCATACGTGCAAGATTTGTAAATCTGYAAGGAGCCTCCGCTCGTGATTTCCGCAATGTGCTCGCAAGCGTTCAGCAATTCCACGTCGTGGGTCACCAAAATCATGGCTCCGGCGTCGTAGTTTTTCATATAATTGGCCAGCCATGCCCGTGCCGATCGGTCCAGGTGGTTGCTCGGTTCGTCCAGCATRGCTAAGGATGGCTTTGAAAGCAAGAGCTTGGCGAAACTCACACGCATCTGCCATCCACCGCTCAGCTCATCGCAGGTCTGCGTGAGATTAGTGAATCCCAAACCCTTCAGCAGGGTTGCCACTTCCTGTTCCTGGACGTATCCACCAACTCGCTCGTAGCGATCCCGAGCAATGTCGAGAGCCTTTAAATCTCGATCTAGTTCTTCCGGAGCATTCTCTGAAGAGGCTTCTAGCTTAGCTTCKGCCTGGCGCAGATTCGTTCTCGCAGCGACAACCTCTTTCATTGCCGAGGCTGCCTCGTCAAAGACAGTGAGCGTCGATCCSGAGACGGCCGTTTGTTTCAGATATCCTACCTCTTGTTTCGTTCCTATCGTRACACTTCCGTCCACATCGAGGTAATCATTGAGTACGTCGTCCTTTTCGTACTCTCCCAAGTCGTTCAATATGGCTTTTAGCAAGGTGGACTTTCCACATCCATTGGCACCCTATTGAATTCGAAAATGATGATGATGACAATCAACATCATCAAAAAATACAGCAGGGGAAGAGACCGCACATAAAATATCAGCAACAACCTGATACACTGCTATCGTGGTAAATAATTTCGAAACAAGGGGCAGCATGGTGCAAGTACCTCGTATAATTTCTCTGCATTCCAATTCCAGTGCAAAGCGTTCGAACACTTACCACGAGTCCCCATTTGGCCTTGGGTTCCACCCTCCAGTCGATATTGGACAACAATGTTTGTCCACCCCGCGAGACGGCCACGTCGACCAATTGCAGGGCCGCACCCTTGGCGTCGCCCCTCCGGCCCTCCCCGACGACGTCGACGTCGCTRGTGTCGACGGAGGTGGTGCTTTGATGCAATGGTCGGTACGAGCGTGGATCCTCTGGTTCCCACTTTTTCGAGCCGCAGCCACTGGTGCCACACACTCGTGGCGGTTGCACAAATCCGTGTACGTCGACCGCTGCCCCAAAGAACAAGGAAASGATGCCCAGCGAAAGYAYCGCAATGTTCATTGCCACGTTTCTTTGCATTGTATGGCAACTTTTATAGTTTTTGATTGTACTTGTAGGATCTTTTCTTCAACCTYTATTTTCTCGGAAAGTKCTCAAATCTGATTTCCCTTTGGGGTGGATKGATCGGCAGGAATGAGCTTCTTCAGGATGGCTTTCCTTTGCGTTGAAGAAAAGTGTTGTGTGAAAGAAGGAAAATCTCACATCAAGCGCAAGGTTTTAGGCTGTGTACGGTACCGTACGGGACGTACGTGCTCGTTCACATAATAGGGAGTACGAAGTACGAGTGGTATCATCGTGCAACAAAGGTAATGTACGTGCGTAATACGTTCCAATGGTACGTACCGGTACAAATGTGTCTTCGTCAGAGTTTTCCGTTTTCTTGTCGTGGTTGGTTTTTGTGGTTTGGATTCATGAGGTACTAGTCGAAGGAGTCAATAATTTAATGGATTCGTAGTCCAATCGGTCCGATCTAGAGAAATGGGAATGATCCAAGGAGGAAAGAAAAAAAAAACTCGCCCTCGCTTCAGAAAACACAACACAGAAAACACAATCCGTACATCGTCAGCAGTCAAGAAGCAGCACTGCAATGGCAACCACCAACGACGATGGAAGCAGCGAAGCACCAACCGTTACCGATGCCGAAAATCGCGAGCGYCAGGAGGCAGAATTCGAGTTCATTGAAGCCGCCTACTCGCCTGACGAGGCGTGGGTGGTCCTAGCTTCGCCACCGCCGGGGAACGGAGGCGCGAAAAAGAACCACGGTCCTCGCAGCAATCAGATCCATCGGAGRCTCGAGCTTCCGCTGGACGATCACGATAACGTCGGMGATGGGAATGACGATGGTGACKATGATGGTTCCCMGAGCAGGAGCGGCATATCTGTAGAACTGATACTGACGCTTCCTCTGACTTACCCAAGCGACGAAASAGCCCCGCTGGAAATCAATGCGTCTCTGATGAGCCGGAACAGTCGAAACATCCCAAGCAAAACCCAGAGCAACCATGTGGATGCTTCGATGTACCGCAAACTGGCCATGGATTCGCTTCCGAACTTGCTGCAAGCCTGTCGGGGCACCGCACTCGAAACCGCGGGAACCGAGTCGGTCTTTGTCGTTTTGTCGAGGGCGGAACAATGGATCGACGAGGATTGGTCCGAGCTGCGGCGAACGGTACCGACATCCGGAGGCAGTAATCGGAATTCTTCGGCACAACACTCGTCTGCAGCGGGAACTACCAACGACAGAGACAAACTCCCGTTGTTTCTGGGGCGAAAACTTATCTACTCCCACCACATCATTGCCAAAGCAAAGCGCAAGGCCATTTCGGATCTGGCCAAGGACTACCAACTCGGAGGATTCTTCAAGATTGGTTGGCCAGGTATCATTGTGATCGAGGGGGAAGAGGAAAACTGCAATTCCTTTTGCGATGAGATTCGATCCATGCGGTGGCAATACCTAGTGATACGGGGGGAGGAGCGGGAAGCCGTGCCAGCCGCCGCAACTGCTCTGAGTGGAAACACRGCTATCGCGGACAAGGRAACCACCGAGACGAGGTTGAGTCGGCTCCGGAAATTTCCATTGCAAATGAAGGAACTGGGGGAAGACCAGATGTCACACCTGTCAGAGATATGCCGAAAGGTCGGCCTCGAAGACTTGTTTCTCACCTCGATGAAAATCTACAATCGAAACAGCAACACCGGGAAARGTAGCAGGGACGAGGACGACGGCGAAGACGAAGACGAAACAAACACAAACACAAACACCACAAAGAGCCACAAAAACACTTGTGACTACGGAACCCTGGTGCTGGTCGACCACATGAATGATCCAAAGGGGTACACCAAATGGATTCGAAAAACCTGTCAATCTTCGGGATGCCGGTGTGCGGTACTCGCGAGCTCTGTTGGCAGCAATGAAGATCCTGCTAGGAGCAGCGGCAGCAACCAACACCGACCTACTATTTTTGTGGCACTCTATGCGAGCGAGGCATCCTCKGTGAAACAAGTGCTCAAGCGATGGAGGACGAGCAAGGTCGATATCGATTCGAGGGGAACCCCCTGCCTTGAGCGCAAAATGGATATTCTCGTCGAAGGTGAACTCCCGATTGCTGAAACCGGACCAACGATGGCGCTAGCTTCATTCGCATCGTCGCTAGCAGGATGCTCCTTAGRTTCCARCAGCAGCAAGAACAACCCAGGCAAGCCTCCATCGGAARCTACAATTTATACCGTTATAGACAACGAAAACAACCGGAAAATGCTCACCATAGACCAAACGGAATCCTTATTGCATTCGATCGGTGGTTCCCCATGGAAAGAAACCTTTCGAGGCACGACCCAGAATCGTCCCAGCGGTGGCAGCAAGAGCAAAGCCAAAGGCAMCACAAAGCGATGATCCGGATGATATTCTACCGATCTGGATGGATTCCGTAAGTCTAAAAATGAATGGTTGGACCGACCTTCTTAGCTAGAACAAATTGACAAGTGTCGCAATGCGCGAGAACATTAAGGGTTAGACAAAAATCCACATTATACTACTAATAGTTTACAAGAGTTTGACAACTTTCCCGCCTTCGAGGAGTACCAATGAGTCCTTGTGGTTGGCTATCGCTTTTTTCACCATACGTTTCGCGTCATCTTTTCCCGTGGCACCATCCTCAGACAAGCAAACCTTCAGCTGCTTCCTCAATTCCCGGACTGTGAGCTGCTTCTTCGGTGCCTTTTTCAGGGCATTTCGAACGGCCTTAATGACTGTTTTGTCGCTTCGTTTTTCTTTCTTTTTCGTTTTGGTAGTGATCRTGGTCGTGGTGATTGGTTCCTTGTCGCTGACTTTTTTGTTGTTCGTAGTTTCGGTCTTTGAATTTAGTGTCAGGGTTGGGGCGCTATCTGTCCTGGCCTCAACACAAATGTCCTTCGTTTGGTTCTCGATGTTGTTTTCGACGTGCTGCAAACGGCACCGCTTGAGCCGGCAATTCATTCCCCACTTGCAGATTCCAGTCGGAACAGTTCTCGGGGCCTTATTCTTGCTACTACTGTCACTCACTGCTGTTATTGCTGCTGCTGTCGCCGTCTCTGCTTTGGCCGGATTCGTTTTGAAGAGAGAATCGGTTTTTGTGCTTTCGTCAACATGCCGAAAACGGCACTTCTTGATGGTACACTTGGTTCCCCACTTGCATACGGGGATGATATCGGGGACAAGCTTTCGCTTCTTGCGGAGTTCCTCCTCGTTTTTGGTCTCGTTGCCGGGGTCGCCACTGCTTTCCTCCTTTCCTTTCTCTTCGTTGCCGTCGCTGTCTCCTTTTTCGTCTCGGTTCTTTCCTGCAAAGTTCGGGTCGTGGTTAAATTTGCACCTGTCTCCGTAGCGACATTCACCCCTCTGAAAAGCGTAGCACATATTTCTCCCCGCCTTGCCCACCACGCGGCACACGGTGTCGGCTTCCGCTCCGGCTGATTCCCCGCCATCTCCTTTGACATCGTGCTGGAGGTTGTTGTTCTTGCGGCGGGTCTTTTGCGATTCGGCACAAACCCGGCAGCGTAGGGGCCTGTGGTTCCAGCGGCGCTCGGAGGCCTTGTAGTAGCTCTGGTCCTCCGTCGTCCACAGAAACATCTGGCTGCAATCCCTGCAGTGTAGTGCCTCGGCCCCACTGTCACTGGCGAGGCAGTCTTTCAGGACCGCCTCGTCCCAGGCCTTCTTCGCGGTGGTCCGGGCCCGCCGGAGCTCCTTCTTCCTGGTGGTGTCTTTCTCAGCCTTAAAAGCAGCGAGCGCGCTGCGGTAAACCGCTTCGAGGGCGGCCGTTGCCGCGGTTGTTGTTACCGCTCCTACCGATGCCTTGGAAGTTTTCTTTTGGTGGAAGCTGCATCCGGTAGTACTAGTAGTTGGTGATTCCTTTGTCATGGTAACGGAATTCAGACAGTATTGTGTGGGTCTATTCGCCTCAGTCGATGTTTGCTGGGCCGTGTTGACTGAGTCGTTAAATCTATCGTCGAGTAGTTGCATCGAACCTAAGTGTTTGCACGAAATGGTCGGAAAAAAAGAATTTCAGATTCTAGATTTTCAATGTGCCCACAGAAACGTTTTCTGGCTGCCAAGCCTCGAGGACGGTACGTACGGATTGATTTGGCGCGAAAACAAACCGGATGRCAGACAGACAGACACACTGTTCCATCTTCTTTCGATGGCCCTGATTAGGTCTTTTGCGGTTCGCTGCAAGTGGAAGTCGAAATGTAATCTTATTGGATGATTCCCTTTAATAGATGTGCTAAAACGGTAAATTTAGCACTTTTATTACTTTTATAATCACAACGGGAATCAAAAATTCAACAGACAGACTGTGAGGGATGCCGGCTTGATGCCAGTCTTTTGTTGGAATTGGAATCTTAATTATTCTCCAACGTAAAAACTAAAAAGACTTAAAACACAAGCCACTTCTTGGTACAAAGAAAAACAAGAATTTTTGGATCGATGTTCTACTACTACTAGTGGAAGGAATGCACATATTTTCTGCATATTTTTGATACTCTCAAATCAGAAAATATGTGCATTCCTCATGCTAGAAGCTAGTCAACAACAAACACCAATTAGCCGCAYTCAAAGACCACACTTTCATCCTAGCAAGAAAGAAAGCTACATCAACAATGATGTGAGCAAGTAGTGGAGGTCATCACAATGTATTGGTACCTCCAGTTGAACGCAGAAGGAGAGCAGCACAGAAGTGACAAAAACAAACTAGTATCTCCAGGAGAACCCCGAGGCTTRCAATCTGGAGATATGCTGATTCCCCCTTCATATATTTCTTCCATTCAGGTGATGAGGACCAAGCACTCCTCAACTGCTGTGGTTTAGACCACAAGGTCTTCRGGGAGCTTGTTGACCTGTTTACTCCAATACAACAACAAGTTCACTGTCAACGACAACAATGAAATTGTGGAAGTTCCATGTTATCCAAATGACAAGCCCAAAGGGAAGAAAAGGGAGGTCAATGCAGTCTGTGCTATTGTGCTATAGGGCTGGTCCTTTACTGGTACAGGACAMCAAGAGGATCTGTTGCAAGAGCAATGACAATGGCGTTTGGCTTAACATGCACAGTGATATACAAGTGGCTCAAGTTTTCACAGAGGGTGATTCTTGTTGCCCTTCACAAACACCCAGACGCCATGGTGAGTGTTCCAACTGAGCATGACGAAGTGGATGATTATATTTAGGATATTGGAGAGAAGTATCCTCCAAGGCTTGGAGAACAACAAGATTGGGGTGCTGCTGATGGGCTTAAGAGTGTAGTAGAACAGTCACAGGACTGGTACAAACAAAGAGCCTTCTACAATGCTTGGAAGGAAGGAAAGCACCTTTGCTAACAGTGTCTTTGCCTTGGCCCCAGATGGTAGAATCAGGATTGCAGTGTACAACTGTCCTGGGGCCTGACATGACAGTTCCGTTGCTGACCACTGAGTATGGATTGAGGAGATCCATAAAACATGCAGTGGGGCAAAGGTTGTCCTAGACTCAGCCTTTGCATTTAAGCATTACCAGGATAGCCTAATCAAGAGCTCATAGAGGGATCCTGACAACAGTAGTAGTAACCTCCTCTTGTTGAACAGGGATGCCACATTGTTGAGACAGATGTCAGAATGGGGGATGAGGATGATCCAGGGAGAGTTCCCAAGGATTAAAGAACTAGTAATGTTCTTGGAAGAGCTTGGAGATTGAAGGATCATCATGAACCTCCTCATTAACTTGTACAACTTCCAGTGTAGTACCATAGGACACAACCAAATCCTATCCACCTTCATGAAGCCACCTGCTACCACTACCAATAAGGTTCCCTCCTACAAGAAGGTGGATCTTGTTGCAGAGTACTTTCTTGAAGTAGGTAGAGGAATATTACCCAATGGCAATGGTGTGTTCTCAGGATGAATCCCATCATCATCTGGATGATGGGATACTGAAATTTATTGAAAAGAAGACAGATTAATCAGAAGAAGGAGGCAGTTTAGTTCTTACTAACAATCATTACAGTGATATGACAATATGGCAATCAACAGGGTCCTTGACAATTAGCAGCAAATAGTTAGTTTCATTGACAGGGCAATCAGACTCAACCACCAACCTTTTCCCCCATGGTCCCTTGATGTTTTTCCTGTAGCTTAGATTAACAGCAATTAGTCACTAGTTTAATCAAAGCAGTACTACAATGCTTTGCCAAGTACTCAAATAATGAATAGCCAGTGCTAGCTGCTTTTTGTGCTGCTTCCGCTGTATTTGCTGCTATTTGCTGCTTTTGGTGCTGCTTATTTTCATAGTACCAATTAGAGTAGTACTAGTAGCTTCTACAAAATGGCAGTAGAAGCTAGGTTTTCCTTCATGTAACAAAAAAGGTTTTCATGTAACAAAAATGGGATGACAAAGTGTTGGATGCACATGTGCAATCCCACAAAAGCAGGTTTGCTTTGCCCAATGGCTGCCATTGATCAGCAACCACATACAATCTATTATCCTTCAGTCCTCATTACTGCATTTTGATTTATAATGCATTGCTCAATCTTAGAGGTTTATTCAACATTCTTCATTACAGTATTTACATCAAATGTAATCCCCAGTGCGTGATTACGAAAGTATACATGAAAACCACAAATCGATAGGATCTGGTGGAACAAGTACTGGCATCCACAGCATCTCAAACAACAAAGAACTGTTGTTGTTGTTCCTTGCTGACTGCTCTAGCAAGAAGCTAGTGAGCTCATTTAATTCATTTAGTGTAGTAGCATGTAAGCAGTTTACTTTAAGTTTAATCATTGGTTGAAGAATGTCTGTTTCCTTCTCCTCACCATGGGATTCCTGTTCCTGGTGCTGCCCAAAGGAGGCCATGGTGTGGAAGCGTATGGAGGCTGCTGAGGCGTTGAAGCGTACAGATATTGCAGAGGAGGACCATGGTAAGCATTGTGTTGTTGCCACTGATTGAACATTGTAACACCAGCTCCTAGAAAGTCTCTGGCAACTTACTTTGCAGCCCCAATGGTCTCCTCTCACATCTCATGACTCTCTTTGTCTCTTTTTTGCTGGCTCCTAATGTAGTCATTGAATGCGGCAACAGCATCTGGGACACTTGATTTTTTCTGCTGACAGGCCCTCTTCCTGGGGATAGGAGTGGATTGTAACACAAGCAAAGGTGTCAAGATGGAAGAAGATGCTCCTGGTGTTGGTGCTCCACTAACAGGCAATGCTTCAGTAGATGATGCTTCCCCAACAAGAAGAACCTCTGGCTCCTTGGCTACTTCAGCAAGAATACCAGCTGGAACACCAGTTGCAGTCAACAACGCTCATGTTTTGGGCACTGAACCCTCCACAGCCTCACTCTTGATGAAGCCTTCCTTCAGATCAAAGTCCTCCTCCCCAGTATCAAGATTTGCCTTCTGGCCAATCAAGATATGGGCCTGGCTTGCCATCTTCACGTACTCCGGCATATTGGGATTCCYGGTTGAGCTCTTGATCCTCTTTACAGCTCATACTTAGTCTTGATGGATGTCTTGGTTCTAAAGAAGGGCCACAATTTTGAGTGATCATTCACTAGTATGAGATCCCAGTCATCTCCACTGATGGAAAKCCTGTCAAGTATCATGCCCATGAGACTGTGTAGCTCATTTTGAGAGTAGTTTGCTACTCCAGCCTTCTGGCCGGTGTTGTTGTTGCCATTATCTGCCATTTAGTTACTACTAAAATAGTGTGGGGGATWGGAAAATGAGGAGCCTCCACTTCTTTGAGGCCGGTTGGGCGAAAGTTCAATTGTTATTTTACCATACGCAGCAGTAAGGGGCGTCTCATTCCCTTGACTTTATATGTTCTTGAAGAAACAGCCATTCATTTTGTACATCCACATTAAAAAAACTTGTTACTATGCATAAAATAACTGTTGAACTTTCTTATTTAAAGAAGGGGTTCAGAACATTAACAAATTAACATACAGTACTACTAGTACATTAATCCCATAGGCCTTGTACTCCCTAGAAATGACAAGTACTACAGTTTTTGCTTCAATTTAACATCCTGAGTGCTCTGCTTCTTAACAGTCTGAAAGTTAGTAGCAGAGGAGGCATCCTCTTCTTCCTCTTTTTTAGATCCCTTGTTCTTCCTTTTTACTACTAGGCACGTGCAAGACTGTTTTGAGGATACCAAATCATGAAGAATGTGGATAAKTACTATGTCACATAGGATGTACGTATGCAGGCCTACATGATAAATTTAATGTTTGAAATGTTAACACTAACATTCAGAACATTAATTTAAAGTTCCAAACCCCTTCCTCTTTAAGAAAATTCAATTGTTATTTTACACATAGTACCAGATTTTCAGTGTTTTCACCACCTCAGATTCCCTTTTCCGTCGACAATTACAGTCAAGAAAAACTATTTTAGTATTTTTTCTTTTGGACTTCCATGATTACGATGATAGAATACGAACCTGATACGTACCGGTACGTACTGTACTGTACCATTATGACAACGAATCAAAAACACCTAACGGTAGCATACCGGTAGGTACGTACAGGCAGGGGTCATAAAGTAGGACCCCTGCGTACAGGGACGTACATGTACCGATACAGCACCGTACTTCAAGGTAATCTACAAAAATATCCAACTGATTAGGTACACGTTTTCTTACGTCTGTTCCAATGTCTGAAGATGTGCCTTCTTCATTCTACGGTTCTAGTATAGTAATGTTTCACGAAGTAATTCAACGCCCATTACAGAACTGGCAAACTGAACAACGACAGCAGGTAAAAAATTGCACGTGAGGTACTACTGCAGTATCGACAACTTAAACGTAGTACCGGTACGCTTTTATGAAATGAGAATTATGCTGATAGTCAATTCAGTATTTATATCTCTGTGATAGATWATCGAGCTTGTCTGGGTATAATAAGTGAAAATTATCTTAGTCCGGGAAGTATTAGTAATAGTGAAATTGATATTTATTYAAAACGTCATTATCGGAGACCAGAAGACTAGATAAATGTTCAAGAATAATTAATAGAGCCTCCTACTTTGTTGGGTATTGTGTTGTTCTTGGAAATATGACTGTTCCCAGAGGTTCGCATTTTATCATGCTATTCGTTTGAGCGGAATCCGTCGCGTCTCCAGTTGATCGGCATTCATCGCGTTTGAACATCCCAAACTGCAAGCGCGCTASTAGAACTGCAGTACCCGTACCGTAGGTAGTCTGCGTTGTATTTCGACACTGGCAAGAAACTAGTAACATCAAGACGTCTCCCTATGGATTATGATTTACGATGGCTCYTTCAGCATATGGAAATCGTACCGGCAGCGAAACTGGAAACGCTTTCGAACTAAAGATTATCTTTTGTAATTACTAGTAACGTAGTTTTAATGATTGTGATTGTAGAGTAGTATGTTAGTTGATTGAAGAACATGAGAGGCGAATCCATTACGKTGATGGATGAGGTAAAAATTGATTGGCAAAAAGATGATGGTCCCTAATATTGCCCACCACCAAAGTATAGATCGTCGGATCCAGCTCCCGGTCCGGCTGAAGATGAAAGGTTGAAAAGTTGTTGGTTGATATTCATGTTCATCGGTGCGCTATTGAAATTGTTGTAGTTCCCGTTTTCGAAGTTGTGTTTGCCACCATGGTTCATTAGGCTCTTCCTGCCACCGTTTAGATCACCGTCGAACTGCTGGGATAGATTGAAGTTACCGTTGCCTCTGCTGCTGCTGTTTCCATACATAGAATCAGACGAGAACATATTGTTATTGAATGCACCATTGAGACCCATGGCATTGTTGCCGTAACCGTTACCCATGTTGTTCATTCTACCGTTGCAGCCATTGCCGCCAACAGCATCGAAACTTGAGCTGTTGCAATTTTGACTGTTCATAAAKTTAGAAGTCGACCCACCCATCATTGCAGAACAGTTTGAAGAACTGCTGTTCATGTGCATTGATGCCATCTGGTTGAATTCTTGCTGATGAGATGACCCGCTTGTGTTGAAGCCTCCGTATGGATTGCTCATTTGTGACATGGCGTCGGATATGATAGGAGCGATACCGCTATCTGGTCCATTGCTAGATTTCCTGCTTTGATCGATGACAGATTGGTACATCATCTGAAGTTCCTGATTATTGAGATGACTTAAATTAGTAGAGAAAYCTCCATCTGATGAGCCAACGCCTCCGCCTCCGAAACGTTGTTGAGACGCAAGCACATTCGCCATACGTGATACACTTTGTTTCTGATCGAATTGTGCGGCCATGTTGAATTGTTTGCCATCCTGGTGGGGCACGTAACTACTGGTATGATCTGATAAGAGCGCTCGTTTCTTCGATGCRAGCATGTGTCGGAGAAGATCCGATTCTCTCTTGCGTATCGAAGCTGCTGTGATGGATCTCATATTGACCATCAAGTCAGCATTATCTCTCTGAAAGTATTCGTTTCCGAATATAATTGGTTCGTCTGGTCCGATACCACGGTTCAGTTGACGGAAGCCCCAACGATAAACTGGTGAACGAGAAGAAAGAATCTCAATATGAGTACAAGTGACAAAAAAAAAGCATTGGCCAAGAAAGAAAATTAGTCGATTAAACGCATGAAGCAGACTTTACTTACGCTTTCGGGTGAACGAACAGAATTTCGAAGCCTTGAAAAACTTCGGAATCACATTGCTGGTGAACTCTTTGATGTTGTAGATGACAAACGCTTTGCCTTCTGGCAACCAAGATATACAAAAATCTTTCTCGSTCTTGGATTTCTCGTCGACGTATTTCATCAAATTCATCATCTTCGTCAATCGGGCGTGGGGAGAAAACGTTAGATTCATCACTTGTTCAACAGACAGTACAGAGCAAAGTTCTCGAGCACAATGATCTTACCTTTTCAGGAAATGTAAGAGCAGCATTTGCTTTCTTGTACGCCGGAAGGAAACGCTTTGCTTTGTCTCCTGTTATTGGAGCCTTGTCTTCACGGCTAGGTTCGACGTTTTCTGCGTTTTTTYCGTCATCTTTGCCATTCTGGATTGCTTCGTCTGATTCTTCAGTGGTCGAAACCTTTTTCGGTTCTTCCACATTGGCCTTCGATGTATTCATGGTCATATCTGGTGATTGGGATTCTGGGTTTCTTACGGTTGAGACCGAATTGTCTTTCATATCACGCATGTATTGTTTTCGGATAGATGACATTTTATGAGTTCCTATCATATAACCTAGTTTTCTTCGAAAGATAATTATTCGGAGGAGAGWAAGAAGTAACTTCTTATCTGGTGTATGTGCGAGTAAACATGAGAAAAGAAAATTAACGAATACATATATACATGACATTTCAAAAATAGTCCTCCACGAACTGCTGTTTCGTTCTACAAACGTCGTTGACAAAAACAAGTACTTATAAATCTCACAAATATAATGTCTAGCTATTTGTTAAATAAACTTTGAGACAATGAGRGTATTATAAGATTTGTTTACTGGGCAAGATGAGTTCGGAAGAGAAAACAAAACTATTAACAAAAAATATTAAATTCTATGCTTGCTGGTAGCGTCATTTGGTCGCCTTGATTTAAAGGATAAATGAAAAAAAAATCCAGGAACATCGTCTTACCCGTCAGTGCGGGTTGTTAATGTATAATGCAAACGCTGTTTATATTAATGCAATTGGATGGGAACATTAATGATAAGAACAGGGTGAAAAGTATTAATTGAGAATGAATTTTCGCTTGAAGAAAATGAATTCCGGCTGTTTCTTCCAGGGCCCTCGAAGAACTGTGTCCCAGAGAATCAATATAATGTATTTAACTTTTTGATTTCGAGGAAGCATCATTTTCTTTTTTGTCACTAATCTGCAAATAGGAATCTCATGACCCTCAATGCAGTTTTTCTTTTTTTGTAATAATCTCTGCACATGAAGATCTCATGACCCCCGAATGCCGTTACGATTTTTAATGACTCGCAATGACTCCAATGAAATAAAAAAATGTTCTAGTGCGAACCTTGCACCTGTGCACCAAGAAGATTTAAGCTTCCGTGTTCGAAATGCAGAATACAGTAACGAAAATAAAAAGAAAGTCGTATCGAATGGTTTGTAATGCGCGCACTACCGGTAGGCATCGAGTAAAAAAATGAAGCTGGTAGAAAATATTTAATTTAATCCGAGTCCTTGTCGGGTACGTACGGTACGGTACGGTATGCCTTGAGTCTTGTGCAATGGGTCATTCCAGTAATGTTCATTCCCGTAAACGACTACGACTTTTGATCGGAAATAAGACTACAGCCAAAATTAATGCGAAATTCGAAATTCGGCCATCCACCATATCCGTTASTACGGAGGACTCCTAATGTCAAGCGCACGAAAGTCAAGTACTAGTAATTGGTAATTCAGTACCGGTACGTTGTTAGAAATAACTGTCTGTGCAAAAGCAAATGTTACAAATTATCTTACAACTTCTGAAAAAATTCTGATSCAGAGAATGGCTGAAGGCCGTGCCAGGATTTATTCAGCAACTGAACCCATTGTTTCACCCATTGCTTTGCCTGATTTTTTTCAGATTTCTAATTTTAAAACTGAGCTCCTCCACATCATTAATGTCCTCCGTATCAACAGCATCCTCCTCAGCAATCTTTCTTAGTATCAGCATAATTTGTATCAGTGTAGTAATCCTCCATAACAACATAATTTGTATCAGTGTAATCCTCTGTATCAGCGACTTCTTGTATCAGTGTACTCCTCCAAAAGCTCCTCCATATCAGCATAAGAATTTGTATCATTGTACTCCTTTGTATCAGTGTACTTGCTCCGCATCAGTGAATCACAATGTGCTCTGTATCAGCGTACTTCCTCYGTAACAGTGAATCACAATACACTCTGCATCAGTGTACTTCCTCTGTATCAGTGTACTCTGTATCAGTGAATCACCATGTGCTTCACATCAGTGYATTCCTCCACATCAGCGACTTGTTGTATGAGTGAATCACCATGCACTCTGTATCAGTACCTCATAGATTGGTTGATTGTTGCTTTTTTGGAAGAACTAAACTTGTCTTGTACTCGTACAAAATCATCCAGTCATTCCTCATTGATAACACTGATTGGCTTGTTCTTGAAGAAATGGCAGTCCTTTGAATACCCACAAATGTTGCCCTTATGGTGACATACCCCACTTCCATCATGATGAAGATCATCACATACATGATGAATATCCTCTCCTTCTGCCATGGTCAGTAGACATATTGGCTTGGCACTACACACTCCTTCAGACTTGNATTCCTCCACATCAGCGACTTGTTGTATGAGTGAATCACCATGCACTCTGTATCAGTACCTCATAGATTGGTTGATTGTTGCTTTTTTGGAAGAACTAAACTTGTCTTGTACTCGTACAAAATCATCCAGTCATTCCTCATTGATAACACTGATTGGCTTGTTCTTGAAGAAATGGYAGTCCTTTGAATACCCACAAATGTTGCCCTTATGGTGACATACCCCACTTCCATCATGATGAAGATCATCACATACATGATGAATATCCTCTCCTTCTGCCATGGTCAGTAGACATATTGGCTTGGCACTACACACTCCTTCAGACTTGTTTGAGTATCTGGTGCAAAGGACGCAAATCATAGCCTCCTCAAGCCACTTGAATAACAACCACTCCGCAAAGCTTACTGTATCTGCAAATAACTTGAACATGGAGATCTGCACTTGGTGAGTACCATATCCAAAAATGCAAATAACTTATCCCTTGAGTATCCACAAATGCAATCACTGTTTGCTTGAGTATCAAAGCCTCTGCAGGCCAGTGACCTTGAGTATCCCCAAAGGCAGACGCGAATCCCTTTAGTAGTAGTATCCGCAAACAACACAGAYCACTTGAGTCTCCGCAACAAAAATAGATTGAGCTGCAAATAATGCAAATAACTTGAATACAGGCATCCACACTTGAGTATTGTATCCACAAACCGCAAACAACATCCGCACCACATGCTGGTTCCTTGAGTATGAAGCCTCTACACACCGGTTCCTTGAGTATCTGCAAACGCAAACACGTCCGCATGCCAGTTCCTTGAGTACTATCCCCAAACGCAAATGTGTCTGCACACCAGTTCCTTGAGTATCCCCAAACGCAAATGCGTCCGCACGCCAGTTCTGTGGGTATCCCCAAACACAACAGCCATTTGCTTGAGTATGAGACAGTTAATCACTGTTTTGCTTGAGTATTGAAGCCTCCGCATGCCGATCCCTTGAGTATCATGGATGAACACTTGCAGATGAGTATGAATGAATGCTTGCAGATGAGGTGCTTTGATGTGTTTGCTCATATTTTGGTGGATGCAAGAAGAGGTGCAGCATTGGTGTCCGCCAGCATTTGAAAAGGACTGTTTTGTAATTTTGATTTCTACCTTCCTTGCATGAAATGATGATCAGAAGGGGTCCATCTTGTCATTGTTGATCTATATTGGTAGCTCTTGGTACATGAGATAATGATCAGAAGGTGGAATCTTATTGTTGTGGTTGATGATTGACTGGTTTTTGTTGTGCATGAGATGATGATGATTGGAACAAGGTGTCCATCTGAAAATCACCATTTGGCAATTTTGATTTCCAGCTTTTGTGCATTGAATGATGATCAGAAGGGAAATTTCATGATCCTGGCATGCTTCTTGGTAGTGTAGCCTCACCCAAGGTTGCCCTGTAGACCTGCTATTACTAGATTGAACTGGTTCTCTTGGAGACAAAGCATGTACAGCCACTACTAACAAGCAAGTATAGGTGCTAAGCATGTGGAGTGTCTATAATTGCTAAGCATGTATGGGAGCTAAGCTTSTATATGCCCTAAGTTTGTATAGAACCTACTAAGCTTATAGTACTATAGGCGCCCAGAAATGGGAAATTTCAAGATCCTAGCACGGTCCTTGGTAGCCTCACCCAAAGATGCCCTGTAGACCTAGTAGTACTGAACTGGTGGAGTGCCACCAGCTGAGTGGCCAATCTACCAGACACTTGGAGATGGAAATTTTGAAAATTTGAAGGAGACATTGTTGCTCATTGGTCACTAGGTAAACCTTCTTTTTTGGAAAAAATGGAAAATTGGATGATCATGGTATGGTTCTTGGTGGCCTCACCCAAGGTTGTCCTGTAGACCTAGTAGAAGTAGTAGTAGTAGTAGTAGTAGTAGTGAATTGGTTCTCTTGTACACCTAAATACTTGTGCTAAGTGTGTATTTGGTAAGTGCTCATAGTCCTCAAGTCTTTACTTATAGGTGCTTACTAGTTTCACATTTTCAAACCTTTTATAGTTTCCAAGGGTTTGTAGCAAGAATGGTGAGGTTGATCACAAGTGCTTCTGATTTTCAATTGATTGCATATCTATAATCAAAGCCTATGCCCAAAAAATAGAATATGTTCATCACTGTAGATTTTGACCATTAGGTGAAAAGATAGATGTTGGAAATGCATGTAGTGTGCGGAAACAATAATAAAAGGCTCATTTGGTACCTCTCCTGCATATTAAAATTTTATTTACGCAAAAATGAAATTTTATTACTGCCAGAATAAAATTTTATTATTTTGTTAATAACTTGTTCTGACTTTGCTGAAAAAAAATATATATATTATAGTGAACCTCCAAATAACAGATATTTGATAACCAATTAAAAAAAAGCCAAAAGAAAAAAAAAAAGAAGACTGACACACTTCTTGCAATTCACAGCTGGGCCCAAACACCAAAGGAGCAACTGTTTGTGGAGCATCTTCTTTAAGAAGAAACTGGGGATAGATCAATAAGATCTAGATATGGGGTTGAATACTGGGAACTCTTCTTGTTGTTGCTTTSCAACACAAATGTCAGAAACAACAACATCATGACAAGAAAGCATTGGGGCTTTTGGTCCTTGAGAACTAGGGATGTATCCAGCTGAGGCAAACTGCACACAGCTGGTGGGGTACTGGGAATTATACTGATCTCAGCAGCATCAGCTTGGTTACTGCTGCTTACCACCATGAGTGTTGGAAACAACAACTTTGTGACCAGAATCTTCTTCCAGTTGGCAATTGAACTGCATGGAGATGCTGGGGAATCTTTTGAGTATGGTGTAGCATATACTCCAGGTGCTGTTCTTCAAGAAAGGTCTTGGTTGAATAYTGGGGGCTGGGGTTGTTGTTGTTGCTTTCCAACACTKATGTTGGAAACAACAACATTGTGACCAGAAAACACTGCTTCCAGTCTTTGAGAACAGGGATGGATACACCAGCTGGGGCAAACTGCCACCAGCTGCAGAGGATAGGGGTCAAATGATATTGATTTAAGTAGTTGTGGTTTAGTCTTGGGTTAGATTGCGTGAATGGAGGCCAGGGAGGTGGGTTTTCCCCTTCAGAAGGGRATGTCACCATGGTGGGTTTGGATACCAGAAGGTGCTGGTCAGATATCTACTATAGGAAGCAGTAGAAAATCTAGGTGATAATTTTCAGAAGCAAAGTGTAATTTTGTGTGTTTGAAAAAGTTTGATTTGAAAATTATCGCAGATGGATATGCAATACAGTCTTGTAGCAGGAAAAGCCACACTATTCTGACAGCTGCTGGCAAAAACAGGGATTGAGGTGGTACTCATTCTCCAGCCATCCCAAC